TTCTCCAATTATGAAAAGCTGACCTTATGAATAGCGGTCCTTATGAATAGTGGACCTTATGCATAGCGGACCTTATGCATAGCGGTCCTTATGAATAGCGACATTGACCCAAATGCTCTACCCGTCATGTTTACCTAGATTGTGCTGCGCATAGATTCAATCGGATTATTTTGGGCCATTACAAGAAGTGGGTTATTGACGTGGACAAATGCTCATGTACCCTTTAAGCTCATATAATGTATTTTATTACCAGAGGAAAAAAAATTGGTCAGTCACTCAATAGTGTCTGACAGTAAAGTATAGAAAGTAAAGGGGTTTCCTTGTTTAATTTGAATACTAGAAAACTGCTAACGTTTATATTTCACAAATAGGACAAACATGACATATGCATAATTCCTACAATGTTCTACAATATTTGCGAATTTAACTTTCAATTGAAAATTTCGACATGATCCCACCATCTGATCAAAAAACAAAAGGCACAACTTTTATAGCCCATAGTCTCAGCTATAACGTACCAAAATTTGGGAGAACATAGAGCACAAAATAAGCTAGATAGTGCTCAAAGATTAATGTCATGTAGATCCATGATTTAAACTAAATTGGCACCTTCCACAGGCTTAACACGCAAATTAAGAAAATCTGTCAAGTTACCTTTAATCGCAATTTTCACTATGATGATGTCATCAAAATTAAATATAATATGCAGTTAACTTGTAGACAATTGCCTAAACTACAAGATATCAACATTAAGAAGAGAATCAATCAATATTTACAGAGATACAATCAATTTTCCATAAATATGCTGACGTCATAATATGCAAATTCGTATTTTGAGTTCCAAGGTCAATATGATGATGACACGATATACTTAATGGCCAAATGAGACATAAAATCACATCTCCGACTCATACTCTATCCGAATATGAAAAAAAATTGAGGGTTCCCGTCCATCCCAAAGAGTCATAAGGGTTTTGTGTAGGCATGTTGTTGCCCATATATGCTATGTATTACATGAGCACGCGCGCACGGACGTTTATCTTGAACGGACCCTCATTCCCTTATTTATGGTCATAAAGAGATAAACATGGTATCAAATTGTTCGGGAAAACATGAGGAATACTGTGTCAAAAAAGAATCTAGGATGAATTATTTTGCGTTCGGCCGTGACAAACGAAAACGCGCGCGCGATTCTTTATGAAATGCTTTTGCTAATAATGGCGTACGCTCGCGTTTTTTGACGTGAAATTGACCGGACTGATATTGACCTTGATCCTGGTAAATATGAATGAGAAATGTCTTTTCGTTATGAAGATATGATCATATTTTGATTTTCACAAAATGGTGCCTGGATGACGTTATCAATCAAGATCTAGGTTGAAAACCTTATTGTGATCTTTCCTCATGCCTATATTATGTGTGCCAAATTTCAAGGCATTTGATTGAGCCATTTTCAAGTTATCGTGCTAACAAAAAAGTGGTTAGAAATAAGACAAATATTCTAACGAAAACATAAGGTGATCTGTATTATATACAGCCCACCTGATAATACATTACATTTATAATGCGCTTCATACAATGTTTCTAAACGCAAGAGAAAGAAGAAAGGATAAGGATGTGGGAGGAAAAGGGAGTTACCTAGAAGTCATTTCGAATATACTAAAATAACTTTCCATCTATCACTGTACGTATTATGATATACACTGAACACTCATTCCATGTCGTGGGAAGTTTTTTTTAAAAAAGTAGAGCAGCAAGCCACATTCCCCAATACGCGCATACCTCATAGTTAATTTCAAACAGCTCATCATTATGTAAGACCTGAAATGACCTCAATGCAAGCAAGCACAAACCATCTGCAAGTAAAGCATTACAGGGGTGGAACCAAAGGGGGGTGTGGGGTGCGACACCCCCCCCCCACCTCTCAGGATATTATCGGTAAAAATGCGCTGCCGTCGGGAAAAAAGAGAGGGCAAGGGAAAGAAAAGAAAAAAGAAAAGAAAAAGAAAAGAAAATAAGGAAAAGAAAGGAAAGAAAGGAAAAGAAAGGAAAGAAAAGAGAAGAAAGAAAGAGAAGAAAAAAAGAGGGAGGAGAGGAAAGAAAGAAAAAGAAAGAAAAGAAAGAAAAGAAAAAAAAAGGAAAAAGAGAAAAGGGAAACAAAAGAAACGGGGGTGTGAAAGAGAGGAGGGGGAGGTAAGAGCCTGAGAAAGCAGGAGTGGGGTAAAAGAAAGGGGAGGGGGGGGGGGTCGTTGGGTGGAGTCGTCTCGTCAAGGAAGCAAGAAAGACACGGGTAAATATGTTGCTGTGTCGGGTCAGCTGTGTCGGTATTTTTGCTCGATCCTCGTGTACTATATCAATGCAGAAGTTTGAAGTCGGTGAGATGTATATTGTCGGTCGGCCAACAAGTTTTTTTTCCTACGAACTGTGACTTTGTATCCGCTGTGACGACTTCGAGAGTGACTACAACTACAATACTTGTATTTTCTCGAAGTTTCACTTTCCTATAATATCAGCTAAAGAAATCAGAAATTTACGTTTTCAGGGAAACTAAATTCAAACAAGGATTAAGAGTCAACAACGATACGACGAATCGTCTTCCTTTCTCTATATTTTGATGAAACGCCAAAATTTCAGCGCTTCGCGCGGGAGGGGAAAACTTCATTTAGACGAGTCGAGAACGGTACAATAAATCGTCTTCTTTTCCTAATAATTTAGGGAAACGTCTAAGCTTCCGCGCTTCGCGCGGGAGGCCTAACACCGACACCCCCTAACGAGCGCGCTTCGCTTGCTCACTACCACCCTCCCTAAAATAAGATCCTAGCTCCGCGCCTGCATTAAAATATATAGCTATGATGTTGACTAAGTTGACAAAATAATTCGTATATTTATGTCGTCGAGGAAATTGATCATTTGCGCATACGCAAGTACTATAGATAGTCCATAGGAAAAACAATTTAGCCTTCGGTCCCGGGTTTATAGGGTTATTTGTAGATATTGATACACTTAATTTTGTCGGTAATTGGTGGCTAGTTTTGTCGGTAATCGTTGGAATCTACACCACCCCCCCCCCACTGAAAAAGGTCTAGCGACGCCCCTGGTACAATGTATTAGGTCATCGTGGAAGTTCTAGAAAGCAACAGGGGAGGGATCAAAATAAGCTTTGAAGGGCACTTATACGTAAAGAAGAGAACCCATTCAGACGGGAAAATTAGATGGCAGCCTTTCTGCTTATTCCCATTTATACAAATCATTTTGTTGCAGTTTGATGTCAGTTCTTCACGATAAGCCAATTGCTCTTCTTCCGTTGGTTCCTTGAGTCCCTTAAAGTCAGTGAAAACAAAGTACTCGAATGAGACGGGGTGTTTTACACACTAATATATATATATATAGTAAAGCTACATACACTTAACTGAAGGAAAGAAACCTACAGAAGACGGACTGGATATTATTGAAAATACTATTCTAAACAAGAATGTAGTACATGTACTACATTACGTTACAATTTCACGAGAGAACTAGAACTCGAGAGGGGAAGAAAAGAAGAAGTGATGAAAATGAAAGAAGACTAATAGCATGAAAGGAAAGAAAAGAGCTAAGAAGACAAGAAAAGGGTGTAAAAAGGAAAAGGAAGAGCAAGAGAGAGAGAGAGAGAGAGAGATATCCTTGAGCTTTGGATCGGCTAATGAGTAATAAATGAAACAGATTTTGAGCGGAGTAATTATCTTTCGCTGGAGAACTTGCATAAGGAGCTAAAACTTGATGTTTTTTTAAATCAAACATTATGGGGAATAGCAAAAAACGGCTGAGCATTTATTGCACTAATTGCCAGAGGAGCATTCATGTCTTCCACGAGGCCGCACTTTTGGATCAGAGAGCAATTTAATTGTCGGCGGAGCATTGTCTTTTGCGGGGTACTTTTGGGGAGGAGCAACAATTATTGTCGTAGTAGCCTTTGTATTTTACGGGGCACTTTTTTAGCGGAGCAATTGTCGGCGGAGCAATTGTCGGCGGAGCAAATGTCACCGGAGCAAGTGTCGCTTCAGGCGGAGCAAATGTCGGCGGAACAATTGTCGGCGGAGCAAATGTCACCGGAGAAATTGTCGCGTTTTGCGGAGAAATTGTCGGCGGAGCAATTGTCGGCGGAGCAACTGTCGGCGGAGCAACTGTCGTTCGAGGAGCATTTGTCACCGGAGCAATTGTCGCGTTTTGCGGAGCAATTGTCGGCGGAGCAATTGTCGGCGGAGCAAATGTCGGCGGAGCAATTGTCGGCGGAGCAATAGTCGGCGGAGCACATGTCGGCGGAGCAATTGTCACCGGAGCAATTGTCGGCGGAGCACATGTCGGCGGAGCAACTGTCGGCGGAGCAACTGTCGCGGAGCAATTGTCGCGTTTTGCGGAGTAAATGTCGGCGGAGCAATCGTCGGCGGAGCATGTGTCATGGAACCTAATTAGTTTTACAGTTGATTTCACTTGATTGATTATATTGTTCGAATGGTTTAGTAGAGGGAATAGAAGTGAACATTCTCACGCTTAGCGATGGGGTGTTATTTTTCTTATTTGTTCATCGTCTCCATTTGATTATTTTTATCACAATAAACGACAATGTGAAGCTATTTGTATGTAGCCTCACAAACAAATCGTATTGCAGACCACCAATACCGCCTGAAACAATTGAGGAAATTTGATTTGAACCATGGGACAAGCTTTCTTTGTTATTCTTTAGTATTTTTGTAAAATCTTTAGCATGGGTGTCACGCAATATCCCAACATGCCGTACAAAGTAAACAACTTCGTGTCTTGGCTGGTTTACTGATAGTGTTGACACTAAAGAGATATTATCACTTCTCTTTCATTTAATATCTATCACAATTAAACACAAAAATCGGTATTTTTTATCATCATGAGTATTATTATAAGCAAGACACATTCACATGATAAAGATGTACTTAACTGCTATCAACAAAGTTAAAGTAGCTATTCTCTGCATCCTCTATATCTAGCCTCCCAGTCCCAGGTCCGTGGTCCCGTCGCTAGCTGAGAGGGACGAGAACCCGAACAACGAAAAACACGACGAGGGACACGACGAGGACGACGATGGCGAGGAGCATAACGATGACGAGAACATTGTTGATATCTTGCTCGCGGCAGGTGCCGACGCGAGCGCCACAGATACGAAGGGGACGACGCCGCTTCATCTCGCCTCCATGCACGCCAACATGGATGCCTTCAAGCGACTCCAAACCGCACCTGGAGTTGATATCAATGTAAGTGGTCCGATTGATGTTTGAAACATTAGGCTAAATATGTATATTGTACCTTTATCGTTGTGTCTTATATAAATCACTCCTGTTAGTTCACGGTATTTAACATGGGCGTGTGTCCCACTACCGTAATCAGGCTAGTCACTGCTTCTATAAAATTGATCTTCGAAAAGAAAGGATCACATCAGGTCGATGGTCAAATTTTGTCATCTTCGACTGAGATGTATCACTGAAACACAACGAAAATAAATATTATCTTACGATTTCATTCTCTCACCCTTTCCCCACACCGGTCATGACCGAAGGCCCAGGACAGACGAGGTGCGACACCGCTCCTCATAGCCTGCAAAGCTGGTAACACGGATGGCGCTTTGGTCCTCATCGACAAAGGGGCAGATATTCTCATCTCTGATATAAATGGAGATACACCCCTTCATCTAGCAGTAAGGCATTCACACACTCTGATCGTCACATCATTGATAGAAATGGCGGAGAGCAAAGGGGACATCAACGAGGTGAATATTGTTGTTTGTGATTTAAAAAAAAAAAGTCATTTATACTAACTTAAGATGTCGAGAGCCAGAAGGGCGTCAATTCATGATAATTTTACAGACGTTACTATTCTCCTGGGTCTCTCCCTCTCTTTCTCTCTCTCTCTCTCTCTCTCTCTCTCTCTCTCTCACACACACACTTTTCCTCTCTCTTGCTTATTAAATGTATCACAATGGATCCTAAAATGACATCATGGGTCCTTCCTTTAATATATGCACAAGAATATGGCTCAGTGGTTTAGCAGTGCGTTGGTAACCAGGAGGTCTCGGGGTTCGAAGCCAAGTCCACATACCCCTACCATTTTATTAAACGAATTCTTCCTCGATGACCAGTCTAGGATAGGAATTCAAGCCGCAATGTCACGAAATAAAGTCAAACTAACGCTAAAGATATCATTGTGACGTCATACATGTCTTTGGTTTTCAACAGGTAATGCTGAACGAGAATTCCCGAGGTGTGATCCCTCTATACGATGCGGTGAAGTGTGGGCACAGGGATCTCTTCCAAGTCTGTCTCGACCATGGTGAGCCGCCTCTCGACTACTTTGTTACAAATATGATATGCACATTTTATTTGAATATTCATGTCTAGCTTCTGACGTGTTATATTGTAAATGGATTTTGATGTAGTAGAATGTATTAATGAATTTTATGCAAATACATATGTACTTGAATATTTAAATCGTAATTGTGACGAATTTGATAGTGATTAAGCTGAAGTTTAATTTACGGAATATTAAGAAATAAATCGCCTCAATTACCATGATTGCATGTTACCATAAGGTCAAATGATCTATGTTGCATCGGGAGAGGGGGGGGGGGGGGTACCATAATCTATGATCTATGACCAAACAATTTCTTTGGGGTAAACTTTAGTTCGAGGAAGTGATTTACACCTAGATCAGTGTCTATATGACTTTCTCACAATAGGCGATCAAACATGTCCTCAAATTAGACAGACAAAACAAATTTTTAAAAGTTTATATAAATACCCGATACTTTTGAGTAATCATGGTATTAAATATTTATAAATTTAAACTCTCGATATCAGTTTCCAAGCGAACGAGCGAGGTGGACATGATGAAGCTGATGAACTTCGCCGGTCGAGACAACGACGACGCTGTCCTTCACGTAGCCGCTGCGGCCGGGTATCAGGACATCGTCGAGGCTCTCATCGCCAACGGAGCCGTGGTCAACCTGGTCAACTTTGACGGGCAGACCCCGCTGCACCTGGCATGCGAAAAGAACCACGAGAGTATCGCACTGTGCCTCGTTGAAAAGTGAGTATTTTATTCCTTGCCGCTATCCATTTTTTTTTTAAATGTCATGCATGACTCTCGTGTGAGTTTATGTATTTTGTGACGTATACACCTAAGAGTTTATCAATTATTTTGAAACTACATTGTATTTTGTTGATGTGCTGCCAGTGGAGGCCAATTTGCTATATTTTGAATATGGATCAATAACATAATCTATCTATCTATCTATCTTTATACGTCCCTCGGACAGGACGTTAAACTGATGCCTAAGAGCAGGAGAGTCACCACCTTTGTACGTTAAGAACTTACTGAACTCTCCGTAAAGAGTATCTGAATCTGTATCTGAAAACAATACGACTCAACACTCCTAATGGAATAAAAAGAGTTGGACTGGGTGTGGGTATGAAATAATAAATTAAAATACTATTGAAAATGCTGTTGCACATGAGAATTGAATACGTCGGGATTGTTGATGTCAACTATGGATGGTAGTAATTTTTTTTGGAAATTCAATTTGTTTTCTTCTTCCAGTGGAGCTGCAATCGTCGCAGATAGCGCTGACTTGAACCCTTTACAGGTTGCTGTGAACAACGGAAGCTTCGAAACCTTGATGTCGCTACTGCAGTACATCTCAGCTGCTTCGGGTGGCCAATCTGACGAGGCTACACATATCCTTCAATGGTCGGCTGCAAACAACAAAGCGGATATACTCAGAAAGGTGACATATAAAAATATAAAATATACGAAACATAAACTACATGATCATGTTCGTGTTGGCACATTTCCATCACTCGAACAATATTTTCTAGAGTGGAATTTGATAAAACGCTCACGACTACAATATTCCCCCGTCAGCCTTCTATTCTAAAGTGGACGATTTGCATTACTTTGTTTTTCTTCAGATCCTAGATTATGAGTTTCGTTTCCATGAGATGACTGATGATGGGATAATGGACTTCATCATGGATGCCGTCAAGATGAAGCATAAAGAGTAAGTTCAATCAAATGTATTTTGTAAGCTGAAGAACATCGTAATAATCATGATAATTGTCTCCTTGTACAAAATTGCAATTACCTGTGAATCTTCACTTAATCTTGATTATGACAGTGTCCGCATTCCCAATCAATGGCGAAAACAAAACAAGAAAAGAGATGTTAAGTTTTTATCAGATATATAAACACTAGAATTCACTGTAAATCATGGACAAAGTGTAAAAAAAAAAGCGGTTTGGATTTTGGAGTTCTTTTGATATACATTGAGAAGCTTTATTTGTTTTTCACTACAAGAACCTAACGTTACTTTAACCTAATGTTACCATCTGATCAACATAAATCGTTAATTTTTTTCGTATACTAGTTGAACATGTGTCCCAATATGGATTCTTTATCCAAATGTCAACGAGAGGCAAATCAGTTTTAAACTTTAAATGCCTACTTCCAAGGTATATTTCCAAACCTTAGCTAACTGTAATCATATTCTTCTGTGTCTTGCTACAGGACGGTTCATGTATTAGTTCGCTGGAACAGGGCTGTTGTGGATCATCGAGACAAGCTCGGAAACACACCCCTTCATCACGCCGCTGAGGGCGGGCATCAAGATATCGCGCAGGAACTGATTCAAGCCAAGGCCCAAGTTAATGCCACGTGAGATTTTCATTAAAAATTATTATTATTATTTCTTCTTCTAAAGATATATCTTATGTGACAGCTTCAGGTTAAACAAGAGAACATCAAGACGATTTCGAGACATCGTGGTGTTGTTTGCTGCCCTTCTCCTAGATTTAGAAACGAATATTAGAAAATGCAAAGTTAACAACTAAATTGTCACTTGGACTTCAACATTAAATGAGGACCATTATCAAAAGCATACTGTTACTAACACATGCCATTCACTATGACATGTCAGATGGACGGTAGACGTGGGGGGGGGGGGGGTCTCAGGTCGGGAACAGGGGTGTATTCCTCATTATTGTAGGGGTCCGGGTGGGATAGATATTTTTCAGTAATTCTTCTTCTTCAGTTGATTTTGTATTTTATGTTGTGACATCTTTGATTTACTTAGGAATGGTGAAGATCTCGGTGGCCTATCACCTCTCCATTACGTAGCTGACCGTGGATGGACTAGAACAGCCCGTGTTTTACTTGATGCACAAGCAGATATTGAGCAGACGGACAGCCAATTGGTATGAAATCAATAATCTAGTTTGGATTGCATGACACAATGATCTGGCGACAATTGTAATTAATCACTAAAATAGACACTCGTCATCTGATGGTTAAACAATAAATGAAATCGTCGCTGTTTTCACGAAGTGAAAAAAAATTGCATTCACTTTGCGTTACGATTTTCCTCACTACCGTCACTTCGTGAAAACAAGGACGAAATGATGCAAGTTCATCCATGACATGCCCCTTCCAATGTCACTTTTTCTTCCAGATGATACCCTCCACCATGTACGCTTGAAAGGAGGCAATTGAGTTTGAGATTTGAGTTTGAGTTTGGGTTTATTAACAAAAACAATAAGAACAAGTAAAATATAATATATCAATCATGATTGCATAAAATATATCAATATAACACAATATAAATAAGAATTACACATAAATAAGATGAACATTTTTTTACAAAGTATGTTATATAAAAATTAAAGACAAGGTTATGAGTACCAGAAGTTAGTCCAACTACTAGTTGAGTCTGGTCCCCAGTCTTTGGCAAGAATGTTTGGTACTATACTATTACAATACAAGCATGGTAGGCTTATTAATCTATGGCAAGGTAGCTGGCGAATTTTGCCTTGATTCAGCAATATATTAATCGCTAAAAGAGACACTAGTCAAAAGACAACTGAACTGAAGACACTATTTACATGCTAACCCCTTCCCATATCTCTTGATACCCCCTTGGTAACCCAGATGACACCCCTTCACCATGCATGTAAAGAAGGTAATGCGAGCATGGTAGATCTACTGCTCTATGGCAAGGGAGCTGGCGATGTCTTCAAACCTGCTGACGTCACAGTACAGGACGCCAAGGGACTGAACTGCCTCGATCACGCAATCGACAACGGACGCGAGTAAGAAAAAACAAGTTCATTATGATAATAATAATAATACAATATTTATAAAGCGCATGATAAACAAAGGTTTCTCTGTGCGCTGTACAAGCATGAATTACGAGAAATATAAACATACAAAAGCAATAAACAAAGAAAAATATACAAATCTTATAACTACTATTATAAGAACACGAACGAAAGTTCTTTCGAAAAATCAGCCTTAGACAATTCAATAGCCTTTTGCGTCATCTACTGACAAGTGCGAACGTGACATCAGATAGTGTGATTGCCCTTTATTTAGTTGATCATGTTTAAGCGCAACTGCACTACTTATAGCTACTTGCGCCCTCTATATAGCAAACAATGCCTAATCGGTGACCATTGGTCCCCATGACCCCCCTTTACTTATGTTAATTGAGAGCTGATTTGATGAGATAACCACCTGTTAGTGACCATGCAGGGGGGTCTAATCACTCCTGGCCAAGCTAGTACAGTGGGGATTTAAGTGGTATCAATTACTGATAATGACCAAGATTACGACATGGCAATGCCAATATTTTGTCATTTTAGGGGTAGGATTTTGAATATTCATTTTTATTTTAATTTCTACCCTAAAGCTTCACCAACATGTTATTATCCGGGCCCTTTTTATTCTTTCTATTTTTTCGTCCAATATCACAGCAAAGATTACTCGTCGCAACCTGAACTATTATTTAGAGCGTAGGGTGTCTGCATGTTGTCTGTGTATTTAAAATTATGACACACGAAAGAGTGCTTTCTATTCAAGTTTATGTTAAAGTCATAGGGCCTATCGTTATTTAGTCGTCATATCGCAAATCAAAACTAGTTTGAACAAATTTAATACGTTACATTTCCGCCGTAGAATATCTAATTTCGATACATTTATAATTATTAACATTCACTATCAAGTAGGGTTATATCTTAGAGAGAGAGAGAGAGAGAGAGGAAGAGAGATCGAGAGAGAGAGGTCCCTTTTTTCAATCTCACAGTGATCTTCTGAAACAGCCATATAATTATGTCTATGACACTAAGCAAGATTGTAAGATAGTTATAAGAGCAAATTCAGAATTGTTAGTTTCCAAAGAAACATTATATCATGACCACCGTTTTCCATTTTGTCACGCTCTTTTTTTTCCAATCATTTTCAGGACGATCGCTAGGATGATCATAACACATAACAGATGGTTAGAAGTGATGTCGGTATCGAGTCTGGATGAGGAGACTAGCTACCGCACAACGCCGATGCGAAAACTCATTCGCTCTATGCCAGGTAAGTTTCGACCAATGAGATAAGCACTCCGCGATAACGGCTTCGTCCGCTATGACTTTCAACCAATCGCATGCCGTATCGCCTCATGCTGTCAAAGGAATTTAACCAATCAAAGCGTTTCTTTCTTATACCGTCTAGACGTAGCCAAAATGATACTGGACCGGTGTATAACCGTTACGGGCGGAACAAGTATTCGGGATAAAGACGTCCGTGTGGAATTCTACTACGAGCTCTTAGAAGACGCGTTCTCACCCTGGATGAAACCGACAGGTATGTTGCCCTATTCTATGGTAATACACATCGGCATTTAATACCCAACCTCTTGTGTGTTTTGCATAAACATTCAATATTCAACTCGAAATCATAAGAATTTCTTCAAGGCTTAAGGGTGCAATATTGAGTCCTTTAGATATGCTTTGGTACCCTCAAGCAAGTTTTGACTGTACAAGTGAACCTTCGTGGTAAGTGGTGTAATTTAAACGTTTTCAATTCAATTGATTCAATTAAATTCAATAATGGTTTTATTAAAAAACAATGCCACGCATCCAAAATGCTGAATTGTGCATTTTTACATACACATGAGCACCATTACATAACATTATATTTTATTTGTTACAATCATTCATTCAAACAGTATTGGTAATACTTATCATTACTCATGTGTAGCTTTTTAAAATCAATTACTATATATTATTTATATTTTATAAATCACAATAGTAATAATAATAATTGATCAAAAACTTGTACTGGGTGTACTGGGAAGAGTTATAGACAGTGCAAAACTTTTCGCAGCGCTCCCTATCCGATTCAGTATTTCAGAGTAGATTTCAGCATTGCAGTGCACATGTACACCACTCAATACATGTATAATTAGGACACTGAGCCAGAATACATGAAAGGACCATGACCACTCTTCGAATGTAAAGTTTACTAATTATTACATTGATTGCCATAAAGCACTTAGTAGTGTTTATTAACATTACAAACGTTCTCTTCCTTTACTTCTTATCATCATCATAATGATCCTTGTCGTCATTATCGCGATCATTATCATCGTCATTGTCTTCATCGTGACCCCTGTCTTCACCTGCTCCGTTGTCGTCGTCGTAATCTTTAAAAATATATATCATCATTGCCATCGTCGGCGACATCATTATCCTCGTCGCCGTTACCATCATAACTTATTGTCATAATCTTCTCTGTCTTGCCCGTCGTCTTCGCTGTACTCAACATCCTCATTCTTCTAATCCTCCTCTTCACCATCCTCACCATCGCCGTCATCATCATCATCATCATCATTATCACTACCAACACCACCATCTTAACCATCACCTCCCTCGTGGTCATCATCACGGTCATCGTGCTCCAGATGAAGATTTACCCCCTCACGAGGGAGTAATAAACACTTTCTTGAATCGGATGTACAGGAGGGTGTCGACTCGACTACCGTCCGACATCGACCACCAGTACGATAAGCAAGATCGCTTGTTCAAATCAGCTCAACCTTTCATCGCGGACTGCCAGGAGAGAAATGAAAACCATCCTTTGAAACTGATGGTAAGATTATCAATCTGTGGTGGTGGATATTTTACCTGACTGCTAAGAAAGCATAAATGCTTGTAAGTGAGCAACCAGACGGCCGGCGGCTTTAGGTCCTCTCCGAGGGACCTGGTAATGAGGATTAATGTCTTACCAAAGGGCACTAGCGCATCGCCTTGGTTTTTGAACCCGGGTCACCGGATTACGAGACCACTGCTCTACCGACTGAGCTATCGCGTTTCCTCTATTACTCTATTACTCCTAATAACAGGGGCTTACAGGGGAAGGCAAAGGCAGCCTCCCCCATCGTAATCTATATACTGTACAATGGAGACCCAAACAAAAACAAAAATTAAAAACAACAAGCAAACGAACGAATTTCAATTAAACTTTGGGAAAATCGGAATTGCGTAGGGTAAACATAAATGTACGTTTGTCCCTCCTAGCTTATCTAAATTCCCGGTCTTACTCCCGATTATCTTGAGATGCAAATGCTCACTTTTCAATTAAGCGTGGAAAAGATTTGATAGATGATAGTTGAAGAAAAAAAAAGACAACATCTCAAGAACCGAATTACTGGGTATATGCATCGTGAGAAAATACAGTTTTGATGTAGGCTATGTGCTAGTTTCACTATTTATCTAAATGTATTTGGAAAAACTACACAATGAATGTTTAGGTGTTGACCATATTGCTTTAAGATGATTATGTCCAGCTAATAATTTTAATTTTTATGTACGGTTTTTAAATGCCTCGTATGTGCCCTGGTCTCCAGCTGGGTTCCGCGCTCCTATGACGATGTTTTTGCTTTGTTTCTTTCTTGGTTTTTTAGGTTTCTTCCAAACGTGTCGATCTACTGGACCACCCACTCGTGACGACTTTCATCCAGCACAAATGGAACTCCATCGGTCGCTACATCTTCTACGTGGGTTTCTTCGTCTACATCACGTTCCTTGCGATGCTGACCGGATACATCATCGTGATTCCGCCGAATTACTATGTACGTGCAGTCAACAAAACCACCAATCCACCCACCATTACGTGGTTTGCAAGCGGGGAAGTACGATGGGTGAAGTCCGTGCCAGATGCGGTCCTGGTCTTATTCGACGTCGTTGGACCTACCGCGATCATGATATTGTCCCTTTTGAACATTTTAAGAGAGGTAGGGTCAAGAAAGACGCGACATGATTAATTTCATTATTTTGTATAATATGATGATGATGGTGACGATGTAACTAATATTATAACTATTATCATTATTAGTTTTCATCATCTTTTTATGATAATATAATCATCATCATTAATATTGTTATTATTATCATTATTATTATTATTATTATCATTAGTAGTAGTAGTAGTATCAGTAGTAGTATCAGTTGTAGTAGTAGCAGTAGTAGTAGTAGTAGTAGTAGTAGTAGTAGAAGTAGTAGTAGTAGTAGTAGTAGTAGTAGTAGTAGTAGTAGTAGTAGTATCAGCAGTAGTAGTGGTACTATTAGTAGTAGAAGTAGTAATAGTAGTGGTGGTAGTAGTAGTAGTAGTAGTAGTAGTAGTAGTGGTGGTGGTAGTAGTAGTAGTAGTAGTAGTAGTGGTGGTAGTAGTAGTAGTATTATTAGTAGTAACATTAGTAGTAGTAGTAGTAGTAGTAGTAGTAGAAGAAGTAGTAGTAGTAGTAATAGTAGTAGTAGTAGTAGTAGTAGTAGTAGTAGTAGTAGTAGTAGTAGTAGTATCAGCAGTAGTAGTAGTAGTGGTAGTATTAGTAGTAGAAGTAGTGGTGGTAGAAGTAGTAGTAGTAGTAGAAGTAGTAGTAGGTAGTAGTGGTAGTACGTAGTAGTGGTAGTAGTAGTATTATTAGTAGTAACATTAGTAGTAGTAGTAGTAGTAGTAGAAGAAGTAGTAGTAGTAGTAGAAGTAGTAGTAGTAGTAGTAGTAGTAGTAGTTGTTGTTGTTGTTGTCTTTTATCTTTACCACAAGCTGTGTATGTTTTATTTTCACAGTTTACTCAGATGTTCGTTCAGCGGATATCTTATTTTCAGGACTTCGGAAATATCATGGAATTGTTCCTCTATCTCTTCGCCATCATATTTTCTCTGCCTTTCAGCACGGTTGAATACGTGAAGCACGGTAATATCAAACAGGTGAAACGCAAAGTAGTGACATATCTTGCAATATAATAAAATTATATAGAATATTTTTAATGACGTAACTAGACTTTAGGCATTTTTTCTGAACGATAGGTATTCTATTCAATTAATTTATCGTATCGTATCCCTAAATATAATCAAACAAAATGTATTGTCAAAGCATGAAATGAATAGGGCATTTTGGGGAAAAAATAATGGCCTCTGAAACACAATGACATAGACATAAATAAAAAATAAATACTATAAATTAGAATTTGTAGAATGAAATGAGGACCTGGTAGAATGTTGAAAGCATTTGTGATAGTAATTGCCATATGCACTCACAGTGACCATAATGGTAGGAATACTCCCCAGAGAGTGGAGATGGTGCACATTGTGCGTGAACGAATCCGATGACCGGGGTAATAATAATATATATGAAGCGCATAGAGACGCTAAATTAATCAAGATTTATAATTATTTATCATTATTATGTTAACACACGATTGTAATCGTAATACTCGCACATTTATAATTTGCGAGAAACAAGCTAGACTGTGGGCAAAGGGGATTTGTTTGTCTGCTTGCCTGTTGTTTTGTAAGCCTTTTCGATTACTTTATTGTTGAATTTTATCTGGTATTGCTTATTCGCCCACCCTCGGACAGGACTGGCAATGGCCGATTGGCGCTGCAGCTGGCTTCTTAGGCTGGATCAACCTGCTGCTGTTTATCAGGAGTAATTCGAAGCTTGGCATCTATGTCATCATGTTTATAGGTGAGTTGTGCACCACCCCCCCTCCCCCTCACACACAGACATTTTGTTTCAAGTATGCATTTGGTTCATAACCATGACATACAATAGTATGCATGGGTAGGTCATTAAGCTATCTACATTTTATCAGCTAATTACTTCAACTTTCTCCCTCATCATTTTCTAGACATCTTCAAGACTTTCCTTCGATTCAGTTTAATCCTGTTCTTATTCGTCATGGCGTTTGGTTTGGCATTCTACGCACTTCTCATGAATCAGGTAAGGAGAAATCATAACGTCCAAGTTAAATATCATACTTTGTTACTTTGTTCCAGTTTTACTGACTTTCTGTCTCTCTGTTTCTGGTTTCTATTTATTTCGTGCTGGTATTCATATTCATTAAAGCAACGATGAACATCTATAATTTGATAATCCATTAGGATATCATCATCCGTTTTACATTTTGTGCCACATTTTGTTTCTGCTACAAACTCTGTTTCCTACTTTTTTATATTGTGATGTTTCAAATCCGCTTTTATATCCCGACACGAGTTCAATTTTAGCGCACAAATTCAAACACGTTTTCACTAATTTTAGATCGCTATATGTTTTGTTTTAAATTGTGTCATACTTGAATATTATTTTCTGCTATGAAAACAATATATAATTATGCTTGAAAACGGAAGTCACTTGACGGTTTCGTAAAGGATAGGGTGGTGTCAAGCAAACTCTTCCAATAATCCAGCTATAGAAACGCTTCCAACAAGCAACCAAAACAAAATCAATCGGGGAAAAGGTAAAAGGCTTTTGGATTACCAAATGTTAGTATAATGAAATAATGACAATTTGAGTCTTTGTTAAAATTTTAATTTGTCTTTTCCTTCCAGAATCCATTTCACTCTCTGTTCGATTCCCTGGCCAAGACGTTTGTAATGATGATCGGTGAGCTGGATTATGCTGATATCTTCTTCGCTCAAGATTACCTAGGGACATCCAATACTCTCGAGGCAGATGGAGAGGCAGCCTATTTTATGAATTCATCTTTCTATGGAACGATCACTCAACTCTTCTTCATCCTCTTCCTCATCGTTATGTCCATTCTCATGATGAATATGCTGGTAAGATAATGTGAAACAACGCTAAACTTGTGTGAAGTTAGTTTAGATTTCGCTTTTTAAACTCACCTATTACAGCCAGTGGCGGATCCATCCGGCGGGAAGAGGGGGCCCAATCCGTGAGAAAATATTAGTTGTGACTCAGCCACCGGTGAATAAGCGGGTGAATAAGCGGGGGGGGGGGGGGGGGGGGGGGGGGGGGGGGGGGGGGGGGGGGGGGGGGAGGAGGCACTTTTTTTTGGTCCAATTTTTCAGGAAATATTTTGCGCCGACTCAGTCAGCCGGTGAACAAGGCGGGGGGGGGGGGTGAGACCACTATTTTTGTTTTTTCATCTAATTCGTGAGAATTTTTGTTGTTTTAATTCTTTTTTGTTGTTGACCCGTCAGCCCCCCCCCCCCGTGGATCCAGACGGCGTCAAGGGGGGGGGGGGTAGCCAAATCTTAAAACAAAATTTAGTGCCGACTCAGCCGGCCGGCGAATAAGCGGGGGGGGGGGGGCGCTTTTGTTTTTGTTTTATAAAGGTTAACTTTACATTATTATCCTATTGTTTTATCGTTTGGGGGGGGGGGGCTGGGGGGGGGGCGGGCCGGAATAATCGCTACGTGGATCCGCCCCTGATTACAGCAGAAGATGGACGTCAATGGCCGTGCATATACATGTACCATGTATACGGTCTTTAAGTGTCAACATAGATATGGCATCACTTTCACCGTGATCATGATAATGATGTTGATGATCACCAACATCATCATCATCACCATTATCATCATCATCATCATCATTATCATCATCATCATCATCATCGTCATCATCATCATCATCATCAGCTATTTGTAATTTGACGGCTAAGCTTTAATGAGATTATATGAAGATGAAGTTTTGCACGCAATTAGCCAAACATCGATTAAGCATACCGTTCATTCAGTCTATATCGTCCCCGTCCTCTACCTCCTCCCCAACCTCCTCCACCTAATCTAAGAACTAATCCAGGAATACAAACCCTCACGCAATATTTTTTCATCTTCACGATTAAACCTCCTGTCTACTTCGGAGTCAACTCTTTCTTATGGACATCGCTCTTTTTGCAGAGCTTCTGCTGAACTTTAAAACAAACTACCTTTACATGTCAAAAGTTGTCAGACTATCAACCAATTCAAAGCTTGTCTTAAGACACATTTATTCAAAATTACTTTTGATGATTAACTTACTCTGTTCACATCGATGTATGTTTGATATGAATTGTACTTTGTAGGTTTATTTGAAGTTTTTTGTTTAAAATATAATTGTTTGTCATCGTAATTTTTTTGTTATAGCGCTAAGAGACTCCAGTGGAAAGCGCTTTATAAGCATCGTTTTATTGTTATTATTATTATTATCCTTCCTCCTCCTCCTCCTTCAGGTTGGTTTAGCTGTAGATGATATCCAGGCAATCCAAGAAAAGGCCAATCTTCATCGTCTTACTATGCAGGTATGTTCAATACGGGTTATCCTCTGTTATAAAATGATGAAGAGGATCCTAATCAAATGATTGGTTGAAAGCATACACGTGACCAGACATTTATTTTGCCTAACACGTAATTCTACTAATGACCGGTCAATAGTATAAAACAAAAAACAAGTTATTTTGTTCGGGCATTAGTAAAATTACTACTCACTGCTTTGTATTATATGTAACCTAACTCCCAGTACCAACAGAAACCGCATAACGCATAATTATTACAATAAATCTTGAGTTCTCTTCAAGTTGTAAAATACGATAACTGCCGATGTTTTGATAGAAAATGTATGATATTTTAGTAATGAACAAAGAAAAATAGTGAGCCTAGCTAGTATCCCCGATCAAATGCCTGGCACAACCTATTTTGAGTCGCGCTTTTCAAGAACTTTCCTTATACGAATACTTTGCTGGCCTAAGCACTAAATAAACCGCATGAGAAACAATGACTACGCCAGTTCCCTCAATTTCGATGAGTCTAAGGCAAAAGATATTTTGTTCACTATGTGAAAAATAATCTCTGCAATCGATCAAACTCAATATGTACAAATCTATATAGAGGTAAACTTGGTCACCGGTGATTGGGGACATTACATTTTGTCAGTCAAGCAGAACGACAAATGCCCTGTTTCATTGATGTCCAAAATGTGTATCTTGCTTTAATTTGAAAGACAAAAGTAAAATGTCTCTCTTATCCCTTTTTCAAGGCGAACATGGTGTTGGAGAATCAGTCAAAATTCTCTCTGTGGATATGGAGAAGGTCTATCGTTCGAAGGAAGAAGTTCCTATCGTCGAACGAGATTAAACTCAAGAAATGGCTTCGACGGCTGACGGGTGGCAGAAAGCAACTCAAGAGGGCGCTGTTGATCAGCACTGATGCAGAGGTGGGTATGAATAATGGCGAATACACAAGGGCTAAAACAGACAGGGAAGGAAGGAGAAGCAGAGAGAAGAGAAAAAGGGATAAAGACGGAGGAGAGAGTGAGAGAAATAACGATTGAGATAGATCGATAAATAGATAGGGGTAGGGGAGAGAGAGAGAGAGAGAGAGAGAGAGAGAGGGAGAGAGAGAGAGAGAGGGGATGTAAGGAGTGTGGTGAGATGGAATTAGAGAGAGGAAATTGTACACAGGGCATCGGAGTAGGCAGACACCTGGATCTCGGAGCATATCGGTGATGCTATTTGGCTAAAATAAGGAATTATCGCACCAATTAGTTTGATTTTCACCTTCGAAATTTATTATTTTATCACTCATCCTTCACGAATCATATTCCAGAATCCTCTTAGCATCGACTCACATCAAGATGAACCCTACGAGAAGATCCGAGAACGTATGAAGGACGTTAGCCTGAAGGTCGAACGAGCAACCATTGAAATGCTCGAAGAAGCCAAGAAAAGAGACACCCAGTTGAACAACATACGTGAAGCTCAGGGTAGCCTCTACGACCGTACCGACCGTCTACAGGCAGCGCAAGAATTCCTTGGAGATCGGATGGAGATAATGCATCGGAAGCTGGATGTCATGATGAAGAAAATGAAGATTAAGGAGAAGAAGATCGAGGGTGTCTTCTGAGGTGACGTGTCAGGGATCCCACATTTGCTCCAGCAATGATTATATATATGTATGTTTTAAGTTTCAATACAATACGTTATGTACACTGTTGGTCATAATGGTGAAATAATTTTTTTTACCCCAATTTATGGAATGATTTTGACAATGATTTATTCCTAATAGATATAGATAATAGTATACATTCTCAGATTTTATTGAAAATAATAATTTGTGAGTAATTTTCGACTGCTAAAGCATGTGTGTGCAACTATGCTAATCAACTAGGGGACCTACGTCCTTAAGTCATAACTGACAGTAATGAGGATTACATATTATGTATATAATGAGGCAAATATTACCAATTTGGTGGTCATCTATGAGGCCCTGTTTGGTAAGAATAAAACAGATAACAGCAGCAAAAACAAAAGAGATAAATACACAAGTAGATAAACAGGTAAAATCAAATGACCAGATGGTCCCTAATAATGTCATGGATTTCCACTTCGGTACATATTTTATTAGAGGTGTCGTGGCCGAGTGGTTTCAGCACTTAAATGCAAAAGTCATGGGTTCGATTCCCGACACAGCAATAATGCCCTTTGTCAAGGCATTAATCAACATTTTCACTTCTTACACAGGAGAAAATGGGGAACCTGGTAGGACTACGTAAGTCAAAGCGCCCTCATGGTGACCAAATTGTAGTACACAGGGAGTGTAGACGGTTAACATTGTGTGTGAATGAATCCGATGATCAGGGTAATAATAATATTATATAATATATGTAAAGCGCTTAGAGACAGTATTTCTCATAAAGCGCTATACAAATCCAAATTATTTTGATTATTATTATTACATCTTGGAGAACATGCAAGTGATAGACTGTACTGTACGTTGAGGTTCCAACGGGTTTTTGGTCAGGATTAGTTTTAGGAATAGTCTCTCGTCACGGGTTGAAGTTTGCCTATTGCAGAAACTTAGACAGCTAGACATTAGTCACCAGAGAATGTGTTTGTTGTAGTTCGCGTGCACTGTATGATCACGCCAGTAGCAAGATATTCCTTTCAATATTGTTTGTTGACATAAATAGCAGATCTCTTATTTTGCTGTAATACTCATTTTGAAGGCCGTGGAGTCCAGACAATGGTCTACCCGCGTGCAGTGTTTGCCATGAAGGCGTTGGGTGAATACACCATGTGTGCAGTATTACTCAGACATGTTATTTGTTAATGTGACAGGTAGTATAACGCGAAGGGAGAGGGAGAGAGAGAGAGAGAGAGAGAGAGAAGGAGAGAGGGGGCTGGTTATGCATGGAATTTTACCTGTATAGATAAACACAAAATAATAACAAAGACCATAATATAACCTGGTCATTATCTACCAAAGAGAGTCAACGGAAAAACAAATGTAAACTGATGAAAGGATTCACAGCTTTTCAAAATGTGTCCAAGAAAATTTGTATAAACGTTGAATTATAACCATGCATTTTCTAGCAATGCTGAGTTATTATGTGTTACGAATCTCCATGTAAATTTCTATTTGTTTTGAAGCAAATTGCTTAGTGAATTTAGGGATGGTGTTGCCGTCAGTGGTTGCGCCATAATTGATGCTACTTACAATGGTTGCGCCATTATTTATGGTACCTGCAATGGTTGCGCTATTATTGATTGTACATGCAATGGTTGCGCTGTTATTGATGGTACTTACAATGATTGCGCTATTATTGATGGTGTTTATTTATTACGGTGATGCCGTCATCCATGGTAAGTGACCATACGCTATTGGACTGACCATCGTTGACGGCCTTGAGTGGAGGTGTTGTGTCGAATGGTGGTGGTGGTGGTGGTGGTGGTGGTGATGTTATTGTTTTTATGGTTGTTACGGGGAATGGGCTACTATAATGTGGTGGTGATATTGGCACCGTGGCACATGGCAAGTACATGTCCTTGTTTTCACGAAGTGACGGTAGTGAGGAAAATCGTAATGCAAAGTGAATGCAATTTTTTTCACTACCGTCACTTCGTGAAAACAGCCACGTCACATAAGTCATTTCTTCTTTAAACGTTCATGTTGGTTCAATATAGGATTTTTATTTTTAAAAAGGCATGTTCATGAGAGAACATAACGAATCATACTCTATGACACTCTATTTGTGTTACTGCCTATCGCAGTACTCACCTGAGTTTATCACTGTCAGGTAAATAAAGATTATGAATTGCACAGAGTATTACTTGTTTTTAGGTATTAAAGTCTAATAATACAAGATTTCGTGATTTTATGTTTGCCATGTTACTTTGTCTTGTTTTCTTTTCAGTGATATCGATTCAAAACGTAATTTGGACACATTCATATATTTTGGTACTATATATTACATTGTATGTGTAAGGTACTTTAGCGAATGAACTGCATCCATAAGTCTTCCTAATATACTATAGAATATTTGAGATTATATAGCGACTATGTAAACTATATGTTGTGCATTAATTTGTTTCCTTTCATGGGACACTGTGTCATTAATATATTTCTTTTATAACTGTAATAGATAAATGTATAGTTCCGGTTTTGTTTTGTGTTTCTTTAGTATTATCGCATCAATATATAGGCCTATCTGTGAAAATATTATTCAAAATGTTTTTGCTTTTCTTGGTTCAATATACATTGTAATTTATCAAGTACATGTGATTTTACCGCCGACTATTTGTTTAATCGTGTTCACGTATTTGAACTTTGATTTGATAAAAGGCTGACTCATTTAAAATCTGCTAAAAACTCTATTGAAATGTACATTTGAATTGAAATATATTTTTTGATAATAATTTCAATCTGTTATCAATATTTCTATTTTGTCACTTTTACATTAAAAATATAGCACCCTTAGTCCTTGGACTACAGCATTGTTACCAGCACAAGTCATAATAAATCTAAATAAATATTTTGCTACAAAATTTGGCATGTACAGGACATATTTATTTTTTTTATTTGTTGAAAGTAATGCATAAGATGGGATCCATACTTATGTACATGGTGTTAATATTTTTTTCTTCATTTCTTGTCGGTGGAGATTTCTTCTGAGCAATTTAGTTTATCTCCCAGATGCATTCATTATTCATCATGTTTATCTCTACTTCAATGAGGTCTCATGACTCTTACACGGTACGTCAAAGACCGAACAAGTCACTGACGCAGTCATGCGTCAATACATTGGTGTCTCGGTTGCGTTAATCTTTACACGGGCATTCGTTGGCTGTACTATTCGACATCTCCCTGCTAACTTTTTGAGTGTTTGCATTAAGCTTCAGAAATAGGAAATGGGGACGGGGGCGGGAAAGGCGGGTGACATACAATACATATTTGTCAAGTAGCGGGGGGTTCTAACTCAACATGATGACCTATAGACGACATTATATGTTTTTTCCTGTGCATAGCTAACTATAATTCTTTTTTAGTTGAAATACTAAAGATTCGAAAACTTCTCCATATCTCCCCAAACTTTTCAATTACAACCGTGAAAGAACGGATTTCTTGGTTGACTACTTCTCATTCGATAGCAAACTTTGGTGACAAGTCACGAAAAAAAAACGAGAGAGAAAGAGACAAAATGAACATAAAGGATGATTTGCCCTGTATTCAAGCAAAAGTGAATAGGGTCTTTCAGAGTTCAGTAACACACTAATGCTGTTTGTGCCGCGGAATTTATCATTATTCATCATTTTTGTATGGGAGGCGAATTCTTTGCTTGTTCTCGTGCAAGCTGTTTTGACGAAAAAAACTGAAAAGCATTTTTGCACACCACCATAGTTGGCTGGATAATAATTATGACACGAAATAAGTCGAATCATCACATTCTTTATGTTTACCCAAGGTTGTTTACTAATCAAAACATTACAGACTATGCATGGCGACTGTTATTAAACGAATAAGATATTTGGAATACAAAATCATATATGATCTCCCAGGAAAGAAAGAAGAGAGCTAGGGATAAATTGAAATGAGATAGAATAAATAAATATCTCTGTCTCTCTGACTTGCACTCTCATTCTCTCTCATTCTCCCTCTATACTACACTCTCCCTCTCTCTTCCTCACTACTCACTTAGATAAATATTGTCTTTCTTCCCATTTATGTGCCTTTCCTTTTCTTCTTAGCCTCTTATTCCGTCCACCGCCCCCTCTTTTCCATCTCTCTCTGTCCCCCTCTCTCTCTCTCTCTCATTCTCTCCTTTTGCCCCTCTCTATCTCTCTCTCCCTCCCTCTCTCTTCCTCACTTCTCACTTAGATTATTATTTTTCTTTCTACCCATTGGTGTGGCTTTTCCCTTTCTTGAGTCTCTTATTCCCTCCATCTCCCCCTCTTCTCCATATCTCTCTCTCTCTCTCTCTCTCTCATCATCTCACTTTCTCTCTTTCTCTCTCTCTCTCTCTCTCTCTCTCTCTCTCTCTCTCTCTCTCACTCTCATTCTCTCACTCTATTTCTCTCTCATTCTCCCTCTCATTTTCTCTTTCTCTCTCTCTATCACTCTCCTTCTCTCTCTCATTCTCTTTCTCTCATTCTCTCTCTCCCTTTCTCTCTCATTCTCTCTCTCTCTCTCTTTCTCTCTCTCTCTCTCTCTCTCTCTCTTTCTTTCTTTCGTTTCCTCTCCCTCTATCCTTCCTTTGCTTTTGTGACACGGTTGGGCGCCCCTTTTCTCAATGTCACCTGTTTACATTCTACGAGCAACAAGTCAAAGCGTTCCAAATAGTCTCGTCCTTGCTCTTCGACCAGAATGGAGGAAGCTAGGACCTTGCTCGCAAAGCCCCTTCGTGATCATGGCGATGATGACGACAACAAAACTCGAATGGAAATGAGGTCATCGTTGAATTCGGTGGATACGATTCCGTGGGGCGATGACGCCTGCCATTCGTCATCGTCGTCTTATTCGGCTATTGATTTTGATCCGGTGAGTAGTTCAACATGACAATTAATATTTTAATTGCATTTTTATAATCTCTGCCACTGAATACGAATGCATATAGAATCGCTATTTTTGTAATTGTTGTCGTTGTTTTTATTATCATTTTGTATTGTTTTTTTAAAAGTTTGTTTAGTTTTCTTTTCAAATGATGTGATATGCAGTCTTTGTGCAAGTAAGTTTTTATTGATTCAAAGGAAACCAAAAATGTATTATGTAAAACTTTCTGAACTTTACTCTTTACCCGTGAAAGATATCGGATTGCAATTTGGTTTCATACTAGAATTAAGGTTCTGGCATCGGGTAGGGTTGACGGCAGGTGTATTGTTGGTTCCTGTTTGAAGTTAGGAATTTGTTTCGTGTAGGGAATTGACGCGGAGCAATCGTCACGGGAGAAAATGTCGCAAAATCACTTTTGTCCGGTGGGTTTTAAATTGTCCAAATTATCAAAAGTCACCACCTTTCTTTTCATTGTTTACTCACTCGGAATATACAGAAGAATAAAGTAATATTCAATATTTAGACAGTCGGAAACTCAACCTCAAAATACAAAAACTTATTAGTTCTTTTCTATTTCTGAAAACAAAATCCTAGTAAATCATGCCACGGTGAATAGGAGGTATGCCGGTCTTTTCAGATTTTTTTGCTTTTGTTTGTTTTGTTCGGAGCTTTCCAAAAAGCCATGACATATCTACAACTTGACCTGTCTCGTTTTTATGAAAAGGAAGCCACCGTAATGTCTAGGTTAAAAAACAGTTGCTCCAATTTCTAATCCCTATAGATGCATAAGACAATTGAGCAAAGATTTTGGCATTGCCATTTTTTTAGAATAGAAACTGTGAGATTTGCAATTTGTTTACAAAGGTGTGCCGACAATATCTCTTCCCTATACTGTAGATGCATGAGACAATTCTGTCAAAATATTGGCATTGTTATATTTTAGAATAGAAACTATGAGATCTGCAGTTTGTGTAAAAAGGTGTGCCGATATTTTCTCCGGTGGTAATTGCTCCGGGGTTTATTTCGTCCACCAAAAGGGTTAAGTTTCCAAAAATGTTAGAATAATTTTTTTATGTAGGCCTACCTCTTTTCATGAAGTGGGTGAGAAAATACGATTTCTTACTAGTAGATAGAGTTTATATCTTCTTTAAACATTATTGATTAATCTTAAGATTCATAGAGATCGATCAATAAAGTTCCGAGAACATAGAACTTTATCTATCAAGAACAAACCATAGGGAATCTCAGAAAAGCTAAGCTTGTTGAGCGAAATTCCCAGTATAAATTATATAAGTAGGCCTACGAGACCAGGGTTTCTCAAACTTTTTCTTTGACGGTCCAGATATCGTGACTTCTATAAAAGCTCTAAGGTCCGAAACTGGGGATGCCATTCGCCCGAAAATTCTCATGGTCGATCGTATCCTTTAACTTGAAGGATACGTATCCTTCAACTTTGGAAGCAAAGGGATTTAACACTTATGGGTAAGATTCAACTATTGAAGGTGCACATTTATTCTAAAGTTCTTTATCGGGCGTCACTTACTCCTGTTCCAAAATGGGTTTATGATTCACTGGATGAATTAACTTTTGATTTCATATGGAAAGGAAAAACAGATAAAATCAATAGAAACACCATGTTCTTAGACTATAAGCAAGGGGGTTAAAGATGTTAAATTTTTCTGCACAAGTTAAATCGCAGCGAATTATGTGGATTCAAAAACTTCTAAACAAAGATGAAGACATGAAATGGAAACAATATTTTAACTTTGTCACTGAACGCGTGGGTGGAGATTTGATATTTTCATGTGACTATATACCAAGTTCATTAAAAGTGACAGCTCCACAATTTTTTATGGATTTATTAGAAGATTGGGTGAATACGAGACATATAAGGAGTATAGACATTGGTGATGTGGTAATTTTTAATAATAAACTTATTCGATATAAAGGAAGTTGTATATACGATAAGAGGTTGTATGACAAAGGAATTTACAAATTAAAACATATTCTGGAAAACGAAGGTAAACTAAAATGTGACAGGCATTTTATCGATTTAGGTGTTGAAGTAAATGAAATTGAAAAGATCAAGCACTTTTATGCCTGTTTACCAGTTTGTTGGAAAAATAATTTTAGAAAGGGAGAAGAAAAAAATAATTCTGGAACTGATTTCACTTTGGGGAAGAAAACAACTAATATAGCTGATCTAATATCAAAACAAATTTATGTACGATTAATAAAGAAAGATGATTTTAAACCTTTGGTTTTTGAGAGAATTAGAAGGAACTATGGTTTTTCCTGAAAGGAAATAGAAAACATATTTTTAAGACTAAGACAGTGTACACTTAACAGTCGATTAAGAGAGTTTCAGTTCAAACTTATACATAATATATTATATACAAACCATCACCTCTTCCGTTTTGGTCTTGTCTCGACTAACTTATGCTCATTTTGCGAAAAAGATGAAGAAACATATAAACATTTATTCTATACTTGTGAATTTGCACAATCAGTGTGGGGAATGTGCACGAGATTTTTAGACTTTGAAATACATAACTGTAGTTTGGAGGAAATTCTGTATGGGAAAGAGGAGAGAAATAAAGGAAAATATCAATTAATGATTCATGTTTTAATTCTTGTTAAATATCTGATTTATAGAAATAGAGAACTTAAAAAACCACCCTCTTTTAATGAAATAAAGGATAGTATAATAGGGGATAAAGTAGAAGAAAGGAAATTGGCAGCAATGAGGGGAACTCTCACTATTCATTTTTCTAAATGGGAAAACCTGAGTATTAGACAAACAATTGGAACCCAGAGCCAGTCGTCCACCGGTTAAGAGGGGGGGGGGGGGATAAGGGAGAGGTCGGGTAGGGTAGGGTTAACAAAAAGAGAAAACTTTTCTCTCAGGACAACAGTATAAAAGAAGTATAAGTTGCTACATTGTTAAAACAAAATATTTGGGTTATACAACTGCACATGTTTTCTTTGAAAATATGAATTTTTGTTTCAAATATGACTTATAGGAACTTACTATGTAAGTTTCTTTGGAAGCCGTTTGTAAGACAAAAATTTATACTGATTTATAATGTCATCACATTTACAGTGAGCGTTACATATGATGATTGTAATTTGTACTATAATTATAATTTGTTTCAAGAGAGAAAAGAATAAAAACTGACCATAAAAAACAACAACTTGAGAATAACAATGTACAATATGATTGCTGGAAAGCCGGACACGACACAAACATTGCTCAAATTTGTTTCGGACTTAGACGATCTACTCCTAAATTTTACATTAATGACACTTTTATACTGAGAATATTGAGGATTGGTTTAGGTCTATATCTAATCCAAAGAGAACTGTTACAGTTTTATAAAACAGAGCCACCAGTGCTTCCATTCGTCTAAAAAAGAGTTTCCTAAAAAAAAGAGTTTCCTAAAAAAAAAAGAGAACACCCAATGTTCTTTGGGGTCTGGCATAGACCCTGCCGGGGTTCCGGGGCGGAGCCTCAGAACGCTCTCGATCTTTTGCAATTCAGAACCTTCAAGATGACCTAAGGACAATTTTCCTAAACAGTTGGTTGTCTGGGGAACCACTTCTATCTTTACTAATGGGATCTAGGGGGTGTCTCATCAACTAGAATTGATTTCGATTAAAAAAATATTAAAAAACCAAGGCCCTTAGATTTTAAGGCTTGATGAAACACCTTCAGGGATCCACTACAGGGCCCCTGGTGTGTTGCAGGGACAGTTCCCCCTCCCCGCCAGAGTTTCCAGGAGTCAGAGCCCCCAGAAGCTCTCGAGCTCTGGCAATTCAGAACATTCTGAATAGCCGACGTCAGCGATACAAACTCTTAACCATCCCTTGAAATTTAAATTCCACTGCTCCTATTGTGTGCTCTTATTAATGTGCACAAACAAAACTCAGATTAGACATTCCATCCAACAGCGGGTTGTCTTGGGAATTACTTTTATTTTTCCTAATGGGGTCCCAGGGTCCGCCTTAGGGCCCCTGGTGGGTTTCAGGGACAATGCCCCCGCCAAGGATCCAGGAGTCAGAGCGCCCGAAAGCTCTCGAGTTTTGGCAATTTAGAACATATTAGATAACCGTCGTGGGCGATAAAAACTCTATCCCTTGAAATTTGAATTGCAGTGGCCCTATTTATTGTGTGCTCTTTTTAAAGGTAAAGACCAGTATTGGAAACGCCCCAATTTCAAAAAATGAAATGGAAGCTCTCATTATCAATCATGTGAAAGAATATGTTTTGACTAATACATGATGATAAAAAATTTGCCGGGGAAACCGCCTACTAATTCATATATTTGGTAAATTTGTTTCTCTCATGGTCTGTGAGAGATATAGGGTAGTCCCATATACATCTATCTGTGTATAGTGCTTGTAACTTTACGAAGAATGGGCCAAATTTCTTATCATTTTGATGATTCCAGAACCTTGCAGATGCTAGATGCTAGATGATCAACCTTTTCTGATCGATTCCACAACGTTTCTTTCACAATGCAATCGCATGACCATAACTGGTCTTTACCTTTAAAGAGCACACAAAAGCCTTCTGATTAGACTTTCAATCTCTTTCAGTAGTAACATAACACGCCCTTAATACTGGTCATAACAATAAATAGAATCTGGATTAAAAAAAAAAAATCCTTCACTTGCTATAACTTGCTATATTTTTCGCTCCAGTGATCTCGAGGCAGCAGACAGCAATAAATCTGATGTGCAAATAATAAATGTTCCACGGGGGTGGTTGTTAGAAGCTTAAACTACATAAAACCAGGGTCTAAAACACCTCCCTGATAAAACTCACACTCTTTCAAATTTTATACAACAAAAGCTTGTCTCTTGAAATGTCTTTAAGTTGGAAAATAACAACCATTAGTTGTCGAATCGAATTTAGAGATTCCTTGTACCAAATGGTCGTACGTCTTGTGCTGCGCAAAGATTCAATCATTTTAATTTGGGGCTTTTGGGCCATTACAAGAATTGGGTCATCGATGTAGAAAATTGCTCATGTACCCTTTACAGCTTATTTTACGTACTATATTACCAAAGACAAAAAAGTCAGTCAGTTACTCAATAATATCTGACAGTGAAGTCTAAAAATTAAAACGGGATTTCCTTGCATAATTTGAATATAAGGACACTGCTAACGTTTAAATCTCACATATAGTATAGGACATACATGACATGTTCATAATTCCTGCATAATTCTACAGAATGTGATGTTTGCTGCAAAGTACCTTTAAAGCCCATCTGTACTAGTGTACATGAGGGATTAGACCACTATGCAAGGTCACACGACAGGTGGATATCTCATCAAATCAGCTCTAAATCAACATAAGAAATAGAGGATCATGGGAGACCAGTGGTCACCGATTATGCATTGTTTTTTATATAGAGGGCGCAAGTAGCTACAAGTAGTACAGTTGGGCTTTAAGAGAGTTTCCATTATGGGGATGAGATAGATGGACAAAAATATATTTGTCGAACAGAAGATGTTGCATGGAATCGCCCAAAGGTGTATTTTCTTTATAGGCAGCTGTACGACAATATTTTCTCACATTCATACTCCTATCAGAAGGGCCAGCAATCTCCCCCACCGAACGCACCGGACGACCTCCGTAATTTACTTGCAATCGTCAAAACAGGCGATGTCGCGAAGCTGAACGAACTGGTGGACGATGTCGGCAAGCAGGGTATATTGACCGTCATCACAGAGCAGGATGGAAAGAAAACAAACCCTCTCCATATTGCTGTTCTACACGGTGACGTGGAGGTGGTCAATACATTGATGGCTTGTGGAACAGGTAAACTTCATACATGAATTGATGGATGGATGGATAGATGGATGGATGGATGGATGGATGGTTGGATGGGTGGGTGGGTGGGTGGGTGGGTGGATGGATGGATGAATGGAATGATGGATGAATGAATGAAATAATGGATGGATGGATGAATGAATGAATGAATGGATAAATGAATGAATGGATTGATGGATAAATGAATGAATAGATAGATGGATGGATGAATGAATTAATGGATGAGTGGATGGATGGACGAATAGATAGATAGATGGATGAATCAATTAGTGTATAAGTGGATGGATGGATGAATAAATATATGGATAAAGGGATGGATGGATGAATAAATATATGGATAAAGGGATGGATGGATGAATAGGTGAATTTTTAAGAATTAATATTTATATATTTCTTTTTAATGAGATTATTTAGGATTTTATTAATTTGTTTACGTTGAATTTGTTTCTCCAAAAAAACAATTAATAATATATATAACACCAAAAATAATCAATGCAACTGTCAGCTGTGTCATAGCAGAACTGTGATTGTACTGAGGTATCAGAAAATAGATATAAAGATAGGGAACGAAAAAGTTCCAGACAAAGAATCAGCGACTATTCCCTCAATTCACCCATAAGAATGTTGTAAAGTTATAGACCTAAGGCGACTTTACTTTTGACATTTTGAAATTTACTTGCCTTCAGTCTGACCAATTTCTTTCCCCAAAAATCGTTTGTTGTAAATCTGCATTCAATTTATACGGATTCCACATTTGTCATTATGTGTGTCAAGGATGATAATAATAATAATAATAATGATAATAATAATAATAATAATAGTGGGTTCTTGTACAATGCTCATGTCTATTAGACTTGACACTCCTGACACTCAACAAGTATTAACTCTCTCTCTCTCTCTCTCTCTCTCTCTCTCTCTCTCTCTCTCTCTTCTGTCTCTCTCTCTCTCTTCTCTCTCTCTCTCTCTCTCTTTCTGTCTCTCTCTTCTCTTCTCTCTCTCTCTCTCTTCTCTCTTTCTCTCTCTTCTCTCTCTCTCTCTCTTCTTTCTCTTCCTATCTATCTTAAAGATGATCTAGTAAGCAACGTCGATCACCATAAAAACACACCTCTCCATGTGGCGAGCTCGGCGGGTCATCTCGACATCGTCAAGGATCTCGTCTGTAGGGGCGCTTCGATGAACTGCGAAAACCGAGACAGACAGACGGCCCTTCATCTGGCTTGTAACCACGATAGGGCGAAGATTGCAAGCTTTCTCTTCGAAAAGTAAGGAGTTGCGTAGTGATGATGATGATGATGATGGCGACGATGGTGATGAGGATGAAGATGATTATGATCTTTAAAAAGTTAATTTCATATAACTACGGTTACACACTCCAGCCAGAAGCTGTTCTTCAGAGTGTCGGTAGAACATGATGATGATGATGATGATGATGATGATGATGATGATGATGATAATGATGATGATGATTATGGTGATGATGACGATGAAGATGGTGATGAAGATGACAATCAAGATAATAATATAACAATTTTATGTTTAGCTCTAATCAACAGTTTCATGTCTGAGGAAACGTAACAAAACAAATATCATCATTAATATGATCGTATATAACAAAATTGTAGTTGTTAGTAAATTTGACAGCCGCATTAGTAATTAAGTGACATTGGTTAATATATTAGCAACAGTTCAGTACATTATTGCTCATTTTGCATTGACAGAAATAATCAATATTTCCAATAAATAGACAATTACATGTAAATACAGATGAATAATAATAAAAAAAAATGATAAATAATTCTAAATGAACAATTAATTCATTAACAAAAATTAACGATAAAAACAATTAATCAATTAAAAGAGAAAAACAAATAACATCTTCCTCTCCCTCCTCAATAGCGGTGCTGACATCACAATCCATGACTCGACCTACCTCAACCCGCTGCAGGTGGCCATAAACCATGACAGCTTTGATGCCCTTCTCACACTGCTGAGGTGTTTGGTATCATCGAGTCGAAAGCATCATGAAGTAGGAGCTGAGATTCAGAGATGGGCAGCGGCAAACAACAAAGCAGCCGCGCTCAGCAAGGTATAGGAGACTCCGAAAATTGAACCAAAATAAAAATCCATAGTTTTTATATTTCAGATACAAAATCACGGATAACATCATACATAAGTATTCATAACAAGCACTTCATCATATGTTTAAATGAGATCAAATCATATATCTGTATTTGAATAAATATTTGTTTCAATAACAAAAATAGTATGGATACTTCATTGCTTTTAAGAAAGTACAAAGTGTAATTTAAATTACGTACAGTATTTTGTGAAATCAGTTTTGTGTATTTTAGAATAACCTGAGTTTGGGTATGAGTTATCGATGTACGTGATCCGCTAGTTCATTTAAACCCCTCACGCAATGATAATCTAAATGCATATGTCTATTCTTCAATACAATAACAGATTCTGGAGAGTGACGTACGGTTCCCTACTCTGTCTGATAGGGATACCATGGATTTTATTATGGATGCCGTGAAGAACAGACACAAAGAGTAAGAATATGTCAATCGTTTTCGTCGCTACGAATATTGTTTTCGCTTCATTTTAAGGTACTAAATGAAAAGGTTAAATACCAACGGCATTTAAAAGACAATATTTAGAACCTCCTTCAAAACGTAAGGATTTGAAAATGGCTTTTTGTGGGAAAATGAGGACCATTAGTTGCTGAATCGACATATGTGATTGCATAATCTAAGTAATAGTATGATTTTCAGATCCTTGTTTTGTGCTGCACAAAGTTTCAATCAGTTTAATTTTGGCCATTACAAGTAGTGAGTTATTGATGTAGACAAATGCTCATGTACCCTTTACAGCTCATATTATATATGTTATTGCCAAAGAAGAAAAAAAAGCCAGTCAGTCACTCAATAGTGTCTGACAGTGAAGTCTAGCAAGTAAACGGGTTTCCTTGCATAATTTAAATACTAGGACACTGCTAACGTTTAAATTTCACAGATAGGACATACATGACATATTCATAATTCCTGCAACGTTTTAAAGAATTTGATGTTGGCTGCAAAAGGGACATAGTATCTTTAAAGTCATTCTAAATTTAATAGTTTATTTACGATGTTCGGTTTATCATTGATATTTCATCAACATTATCATTATAATTCCTATTATTCAATTATTAAAGGTTGGTGATGGTGCTCCTCAACTGGTCCCATCAGACCGTTGTCCATCACACGGACGCAGGAGGGAACACACCCTTGCACTACGCCGCCGAGATTGGTGATACCGTCATCATGCTTGAACTCATCAAGGCTAGGGCTCACGTCAATGCAAAGTTAGTCAAATCATTTTCTTTGAGGTTTATTCTCTTATTAATCTTCTTCCGTATACCTCAATCACAACGATGAGATCGCCTCCAGACCGACAAGACACCGAACAATGATATTTTTAAACCGGGATGGCGAAGAAGTCTTCCGCCTGAAGTCGGCTTGGTTCACCCTTTCTCAATCTTTGATGTGTGTGTGAGGGGGGGGGGGGGGGGTAAAGGACACTTTTTTGGGGGGGGGGGGGAATACATTTTGCTCCGTTGGGGGGGGGGGGGAAGGTCCGTACGCGCCTGGAAGGGGGCACCCTTAACGCGCGCCTGTTTTCTACACTTACATAGGCGAGCCTCCCCCCCCCCCTCCTCCGGTAATATTTGATACACCTCCTGTTTTCAAATAATCTGTACACGTTCTACTTGCTCTTAGCGAAAGCAAAATATGACAAACGTTTACAAATCTCTTATTTAAAGGACACTTTTTTTGGGGGGGAATACATTTTGCTCCGTTGGGGGGGGGGGGGGGGTAAGGTCCGTACGCGCCTGGAAGGGGGCACCCTTAACGCGCGCCTGTTTTCTACACTTACATAGGCGAGCCTCCCCCCCCCCCCCCCCCCCTCCTCCGGTAATATTTGATACACCTCCTGTTTTCAAATAATCTGTACACGTTCTACTTGCTCTTAGCGAAAGCAAAATATGACAAACGTTTACAAATCTCTTATTTAATCATAATTTCGTCTAATATCTATTCTATATTTTGACTATTATATTGCTCGTTTCTAGGAATTCCCAGAGAGAAGGTGAGCGGACCCCTTTGCACCTTGCTGCGGGGAACGGCTGGACTAGACCAGCTGGAATACTGCTGCATTATCACGCTCACATCGATGAGAGGGACCAGAGCGAGGTGAGCCCCCCCCCCTTCCTGTTTTTTTCGGAGAGGGGAGGGGGGGATCAGGTTTTTTGAGGGGCGGGAAAGAAACTGTTTGAAGAAACTCATAACCACAACATCATTGCATAATTATATGCTATGCAATTTGAATATAACCCCCCCCCCTCTCTCTCTCTCTCTCTCTCTGTCTGTCTCTCCCTCTCTGTATGTCTCTGTCTTGTTTTTCTCTCTCTCTGTCTTTCTGTCTTTTTGTCTTTCTCTTTGTCTGTGTGTGTCTCTCTCTCTTTCTCTGTCTGTCTATCTGTCTCTTTCTTTCTACTCTATTCTTAGGGAGCAACATTATGTGAGTATTTACATGTATGTATTAAAGGGATCCGATAACTTTGTCTCAGATTCTGAAACAAAATCCTGGAATTAGCTCATGCTCCGATGATAATTATAAACCTTTAGGTCAGTCAGGAACTCCATTACTTTTACAAACCGATCGCCTGTCTGATTATCAAGATATTTATGATTGGAATAACACTATTGTCTATTGGGGAAAACGAGTATGGTAAAACCGGTCACTCAAAGATTTTTCTTTTTTTGAGGCACTTCTTGACCATTTTGAAGCGCATTTTTTTTTATGGCTTCAATATTACACCATATCATAGACACTGATATCACGGAGGGCCGTGCATCTCAGATGTAACATTGTTAGACGATGCCTTTAAGAAAATCCGCATGTTTTGGGACTAGGTCAAATTAGACCTTGGTGGATACTTGATATTTATTAAAAAAGAATTATATTCCTTTTCTGGATTATCAGTCTTTATTTACACATCTTTTCGTCAATGGTTTATCTATGTTTTTGTTTTTAATGCCCAAGTCGTTTAAATTAAAAGCAAATCTGCGTTTGTTTTTCTTGTTGCCATGTCGGGCCATCAGATGACACCCCTGCACCACGCGTGTATGAACGGCCAGATTGAGATGGTGGAGATGCTACTCTTCGATCAGGACGACGACCTCATCACAAACAAGGCCAACGCAGTCGTGTGTGACGAGGACGGACGGACATGTCTTGATCACGCCATCGACAACGGATATGAGTATGTAGTAAATTAGATCAATTAAAACAGCCTCCGTGAATTAGATGCTGCCTGTATTTTTGTTTTGCCTCATGGGAATTAGATATTTTAGAAGTCAAATGATTTCATATTATTTTTATTTTCAAGGTAGCATTCTCAAATTGTGCATACCATGATCATTGGCAATGTATCTAGTTAAGGGTGAAGCTGGCCGGCATATACCGAATTGGAAGGACAAGAAGAAAACAAAGCAACTTGCAGTGTTCTGTTGTCAGCCCATATATACCCCCTCCCCATCCCGTGTTTCTCTTTTGAGTATTATGACATGAAATCGAATATTTTGCACTCCCGGGTCATTTCCAAAATTAAAAGACGCACGGTTTTAGTCGACACGTCGCTCGTTATACTGCTTAAAAAGTGCATTGAGCATGAGTTCTGTAATGGACACATCAAGACATAAGAATATCATTGCCATACAGACTTTTTCCTTTCGTCCAATCATCTTCTAATTTATGTTCGAAGGGATGTAGCAAAGCTGATTCTCCGCCATTCAAAATGGCGAGAACTGATGTGTATCTCGAGTCTGGATGAGGAGACTAACTATCGGACCACGCCCATGAGAAAACTTATCCAGTCAATGCCTGGTAACACATATTTCTGTCGTATCCCTTTAACATGTATCATTCCACTATTTAATTACATTCGTTTTTGTTTACATTGAATCCTCATTTTTATGTGAACCTCTATTTCTTATCAATATGTATTTATTTTTATGATAGTGTAGGAAGATTTTCCGTTATATTTGGGTCTTGCCATATGCCGTCCGAGATGGTATATGGAGATGGTGCACACGTTTTGTTGGTAATTTAATCCCATTATCGGGGTGATACATAAAGGGCAATGTAAATCCGGGCTATCATTAGTTATCATTGTTGTTATCTTTAATCATGATTATTGTAGGCTATTCATTCTTATTATATAATTCTATTATTTCCATCGTTCTGTTGTTATTATTATAATTCCTATTATTATCATTATTATTATCATTATTATTATTATCATTGTAATTAATATTGAAATTAATATAAGTATTATTACTATTATCATTTTTATTATTGTTGTCGTTGTTATTATTATTGTTGTTATCATTAATATTTTAAGGCCTATTTTCAGCATTGTTATACAATTTTTAATATTATCATCTGATTATTTTTATCATTGCTATTCCTATTATCCTAATACAGATGTAGCGCAGATAGTACTTGATCGTTGCATCACAGTGACTGGTGGAGAATACTCGTCCAAACCCAGTAAGACGAAGACGGTGGAGTTCTACTATGAATTCCTTGAAGACACTTTCTCCTCATGGATCAGACAACCTGGTGAGAAAAATCTCGTATTCAATCTTCTTAATTTTATGTGAAGTCTGTGACGTCATGATAGGTACGTCTTAGATTTTATAACGATCAATTTGGCTTTTAGTACGTCACACAGTGACGCTCCAAGTACTCGAATGAAAAGCATATTAGTTGTTTAGTGGACTTCCCTCACGAAGTTCCAAGCATTCAAGGAATATTCCTGAAATAAGATGTTTGATGTCTCGATGTAATTATATCACAAAATTATAAATAAAGAAAGAAACAAACAAAACATCAAAAGTCGCTGAAATCAGTCGAGACCAAGAGACCACCATGTTCACCAAAACAGCCACAGAAAAGTCAATAACGACCAATAATTTGATTTAAAACGAAAAAAAAATCTAGTCGACATTGGTCCTGATTTTTCTTGCCGTTGTAGTGGAACAAAGATGAAGGTCAAGATTGACAGGTGCGATAGCTTAGTGGCAAAGCAGTGGTATCGTAACCGAGAGGTCCCGGGTTCGAATCCCATTCGATGCACTAGTGCCCTTTGGTAAGGCATTAATCCCTCGGAAAAGACTTGAATCGTTGTTACCCTGGTTGCTAACTTACAGTCAAACACATGCTTTCTCAGCAATCAGGTAAAACAACAAATATTTCCAGTTTGTCATTGTCATGTTAACAGTTACCAATAATCTGTTTAGGAAAGATTTTCCATCACACTTGAATCAATGACACAAATGACTCTGTATCTCTTTAAAGAAGATGGTGGCAAACAGGAAGGGCTTCTGAACAGAGTCTATCATAGGTTATCAACAATGAGAGGATCCTATCACTCAGCTAAAGCGAAGAATTCCCATTTTAGTACGTCACACAGTGACGCTCCAAGTACTCGAATGAAAAGCATATTAGTTGTTTAGTGGACTTCCCTCACGAAGTTCCAAGCATTCAAGGAATATTCCTGAAATAAGATGTTTGATGTCTCGATGTAATTATATCACAAAATTATAAATAAAGAAAGAAACAAACAAAACATCAAAAGTCGCTGAAATCAGTCGAGACCAAGAGACCACCATGTTCACCAAAACAGCCACAGAAAAGTCAATAACGACCAATAATTTGATTTAAAACGAAAAAAAAATCTAGTCGACATTGGTCCTGATTTTTCTTGCCGTTGTAGTGGAACAAAGATGAAGGTCAAGATTGACAGGTGCGATAGCTTAGTGGCAAAGCAGTGGTATCGTAACCGAGAGGTCCCGGGTTCGAATCCCATTCGATGCACTAGTGCCCTTTGGTAAGGCATTAATCCCTCGGAAAAGACTTGAATCGTTGTTACCCTGGTTGCTAACTTACAGTCAAACACATGCTTTCTCAGCAATCAGGTAAAACAACAAATATTTCCAGTTTTTCATTGTCATGTTAACAGTTACCAATAATCTGTTTAGGAAAGATTTTCCACCACACTTGAATCGATGACCCAAATGACTCTGTATCTCTTTAAAGAAGATGGTAGCAAACAGGAAGGGCTTCTGAACAGAGTCTATCATAGGTTATCAACAATGAGAGGATCCTATCACTCAGCTAAAGCGAAGAATTCCCAATTCGACATCAAAGGTCGTTTGAAGCGCAGTGCCTGGCCCTACATCTCAGACCCTCGAGAACGGTTCTTGAACCATCCCCTGCAGATCATGGTATGGATACCATAATCATTTTTCGTCAACATTTGAGAAATTGGTACATAGGGACGTCTAAGGACGTACAATGACCTTCAAAAAAATATATAGATATCACATGTTTTTCCCGATGATAAAGCGGATTTTCTTTTTTTAATCAACTTATTAACCATGAATATAAGAAATGCAAAGGGTGTGCTTCTTTCTTAGCGGAAAGATTATCTTATCTCATTTTTAAAATAAATGTATTCACCCATTAGCTAGTCACCCCATTGTAGGGTATTGACAAAGTAATGTGTTATACTATTATAAACCAAGCCAGGTAAACTTTGGTGAGGCATCACTGGAAACGAACAAAATGGATTTGTCTATTTAGTCCGTGGACGAGCTTCATGGTATAGACATGTCAAGAAGACCCGGCTCCATGACAAGTCCAAACGTTCTTCATTGAAAATCCTGAGTTAGAATCTGTTTTGAATATCAACGATATAATACGAGCACACAGAAGAAATGTTCTATTCCTACTGTTTCTACTCATATCCCATCCTTCTTCAGACGAGCCTTCAGCGCGAAAGTCTCCTCGATCACCCCGTCGTCACCACCTTCCTGCATCACAAGTGGGTCTCAGTGGGTCGCTACGCCTTCATCTCCTCCCTCGTCATCTACCTTCTATTCCTCTTCATGCTGACCGGGTTCATCATCGTCATGCCACCCAGCTACTATGTCCAGTCCTTCAACCACACCCTGGAGAACCCGGATCGCATCACCTGGAAGGCCGATGGGAAGCAGAGATGGGTGGACAGCGCCTCGCATTTCAACGTGCTCATCTTCAACCGGTTTGGGTACATCGTCATCATCGCCCTGTCCGTGCTCAATTTATTCAGAGAGGTAGGCAAATATAAAATGTGGTACCTGTGTCTTTATATTCCATTTTGGTTGCTAAATTTTCATCTCCCCCCTCTCTCTCTCTCTCTCTCTATCTCTCTCCATATCTCTCTTTTTGCTCTTTCTCTCCCCCCTCTCTCTCTCTCCCTCTCTCTTGCTCCCTCTCTTTTCACTCCTCCTCCTCCTCTTCCACCATCTCCTCCGCCCCAACTCCTCTTCCTCTTTCTTACTTCAAGCCCATATCAGTTTCTTTCTGCATGCATATCTCCTTCTCTCACTCACTTTGATGCACTTTTCGACCATGTCGACTGCCTCTATATACTGCCTCTGCTCTAGTGGCAAGACAAACCGTTTTATATCAGTAAAGGAAATGTACCTTACAAGCCGTTTCTTGATGGAATATGTAAGTTTCTTAAATACCTTGTTTTTCGAGCTTCCAAAATGAAGTATTTTACGTACATCCGCATGGTTTCATCCTTTCTGTTTTCCTCCAGATTATACAGATGGCAGTTCACAGACTAAACTACTTCAAGAGTGCTAACAACTATCTGGAGCTCTTCTTATACATCGCTGCTATCCTGTTTACCCTGCCACGGGGTGACGTCGAATTCGTCAACAATGGTCATCTTATACAGGTAATTAAAATGATTTGATTGAATAGCATTGACATTATGACGGATTTGTATGAGTCAGAGTCATTTAATTGTCGTGGTTTTATGACGATTAATCTTGAAACCATTCTACCTATAAATGTAAATGAAAATGTATTATTTTTCTGAGTGCAGCAGATTATAAATACATGTTAATATATTGTTAAGCTAACTTTTTTTTCGTAAGGGGTGTACATAATGTTTTTAATATATTCCCGTAGTACCTGTACAAGTAAAACATCTTTCAACATCACATTCTATTAGGATGGCTGTCATCCACGTGATAATTCCTTTCAGACACTTTTAAGACATGGTGTAGCGCAGGAAGAGGTAGAAAAGGAAGAACGAAAAACAGAACGAAATTAAGAAGACAAAAAAGGTTCCCTACGACTTCTTTCATATAGGGGAAATCCCTTTTTGACCACTCGACGTCTACTTATAAAGACAACCGCCGTCCCCACCCCATCCCTCTCCTTGTTCGACTATAGACACATCGTACTTAACTTTAAAAGTAAAAACAAAAATACTACACTCATTTCTTAGTCTAATATTTAAGATTCTCGTAGACTATTTATTTGAATCCTACCTGCTATCCCACCTGTCTCCTTTATAATACCCTTGCAACTACACTCATTTCTTATTCTAAAATGTAAGATGCTGGTAGACTATATTTCAAACGGCTGCATTTGTTATCCTACCTGCCTCCTTTATAATGCCTCTTTACCTATTCTTCGCCTACCAGCCATGGCAGTGGCCCTTAGGTGCCTGTGCAGGGTTTCTGGCTTGGATCAACCTGGTTCTCTTCATGAGAAGATCATCCCTACTGGGCATCTATGTCATCATGTTCTTAGGTGAAAACAAATTTTCTTACTTGCCATTTTTTGAAATTATTCGTTTATTTATTGCGCATACGCCGTTTATGTTGGATCATTACATATCAAATTTACAGTGTATGCACTTGGAGAGCAAAATAATTATTATGTTTTGTTTACTAATGTAAAGCGCTTTGAGCATGTTTATGTAAAGGCGCTCTATAAATATCAATATTTATGTATGTATATCATTAACATCATATTAGTTACCATCCTCCCACCAGTGGCGCTCAAGGGAGGGGGGGGGGGGGTGCAAATTTGTAATTTTCGAGGACCTTCCCCCCCCTCCCTCTGTCTCCGAATGTGTTAGAAATGATTTTAAAGTTAGTATATTTGTTCCTCTGTATCATGATATTAGTTTGGACAAGCCAACTCACATGGAAGAACTACATACAACGATTTTGATATACAGCACTGAGACCCATTATGATACTTTTCAGTAATTTTGGATTTATTGCCGACGAAATGGCACTCTAGCTTTCAAAGTTTGGCATCATTTTAGGTCGATTAAACTTTGCATTTTATGTTTGTGATAAATACGGCTCACTACATCTGTTGTACATCATTCATGATAATTTTGGTGTACCTCAACTACAGACATAGAGTGTACATTTCAATTTTTGTTTTCTTATGGCAGATATCACACGAACTTTCCTGAAGTTTGCATTCATCCTGTTCATTGTTGTCATGGCATTCGCACTGACATTCTACGCTTTGCTGATGAACAAGGTATATCATGAACGTATTCATTATCCAATCACTAGTTTGCTTTGAACATCTATAATGTGTTTGCAGCATCAACCAATCACTATTTGAAGCCTTATAAACTCAATCAACAATGATTGGCTGAATCTGAAGATGGGTGAATGATGGCGTCCGAAATTTGGACAACAGTCAGAATGAGGGGGGGGGGGAGCAAGAAAGAGAAGGAGGAAGAAAGAAAGAAAATGAGACAGAAACGGAGAGAGAGAGAGAGAGAGAGAGAGAAAGAGAAAGAGAGACAGAGAAGAGGTGGTGTTTTTTTTTGGGGGGGGGGGGGGCAGGGAGAGATATTCATGAAGAGGAAGAGAGAAATGTTATGATGTCATGCAAAACACATTTGTTAAATTCAACATTTTATTACTGTCAGCATGGTCACTCCTATTCAGTATACAAATGATGCACAGGTTAGAGTGCGTCGGTAGGGATTGTGTGCACAAGGTACCTTTGAATAGTTTTAGACCAAATTCAAAGGTACAACGTGCACACAATTCCACCGACCCACGAATTAACCCTCTGCATCATCTGTTTTATAAGATGGGGCCCCAAAAATTGTCAAAAATACAAAATGTTGTTATTTTACAGATTTACCGGATGCATGGCAAAATCATGCGTCCGGTTATTACCGGACGCATGATTTTTTTAATTTGCATAATTTGTCTGTTGTTACTTAGTGCAATGGATTTAAACAAATATAGAATGACTGAGGCCTAAACCTTAACAAAAGAAAGTCATTAAATCAATACAAACTTATTTTGCAAGCTTTCTTGAGCTTTGAGGAGGTGCAATCTAAATTAGAAGAGGTCTGGATCTTGTTCATATCAAGTACAGAAATTGAGGCTTTATGTGTGGTGCTTCCCGGCCCCCTCGCTTCAGTTTCACCAACACAGCCTCGAGAAATTGAAATTTGTTTTAGATATCTAAAGTACAGTGATCCAAAAAGTGGCGTTGTATGCCACAGCGAAGGTACTAAAGTATAGGTTTACAACTCACCGTCGGTCTATGTACAGAAGCATAGAACTTAGTTTAGAACGATAACAGTTTGTCCAATTCTGGCGTAAAAATGTCTCCTAAATTGACGTTCTTGATCTGCGCAAACTTTTCCAACTTTGAGAATCCATACTTAAATTGAAATTTTCATGCTAGTCGCATCTGAATCATCCAACAATTTAGATAATTCTTCTTCTTATAGAAGCTGGAAAATCAAATCGCCGCCGCGATTTCGCCATCTTGATTTGGGTTTGGTTGTTTTCCTTAGTGAAGAAGAGAGAAAGTGCAAACAATTAAGATATCGGTGATATCGATTCCAATATAGCATATATCGTGTTGATATCGCGTGCATCCAGTAAAAGTAACTACACGATAATTGACCAATCACATTGCAGGGGTTGTTCTAACCATCTTATAATATCATTTGTTATCATTATGGTCTGTTACAGTCAGAGCATAGCATATTTAACAAGTTCCTGAAAATACAACTATGGACTTCAGTTCTATGTTTTCCACTCGTATCCGAATCGAATTAATAACCAATTGCTATGAGAAAAAAACCCCGTTTGCATTCCGTTTGATTCAATTCGATTCAATTCAATCCATGTCTCAACCAAAAATGTTGCCATTCTCTCGATTTCTAGAGCGCGTTTCACACTGTGGGCGACTCATTGGCCAAGACTTTCGTCATGATGATAGGCGAGTTTGATTTTGAAAGCATTTTCTTCAGTAGCGACTACATGGAATCCCAGTCCACTTCTTTCACCGACTCTCTCTTCATACCAAAACTGACCTATGTTTTCTTCATCCTCTTCGTCGTGCTCATGCCTATTCTCATGATGAACATGTTGGTAAGTATTTGTATTTTTATCATTGGCGGAAGGATCTTCACTAAATAGATACAAATTAAAATTCAAACTTTACTGATTTCAATTCATACAGATAGGATCATTCTCAATTTTGTTTATACATTGGATAACAAATTTCAAACTTCTTGGTTATAGTGTATGTAAGAGTAAAGATAACAATTACCAGGAATGACACAAATTAACAAAGATTACCCCCATATGGAAGGAAACATCGACTGAGAATTTACATCACCGATAGGTAAAAAGGAATTGGAGAAATAGAGGGCAGGGAAAAGTGATATATATACACTGTTGGTCATAATGGTGGAATATTTATTTTTACCCCAGTTTAGGGAAGGATTTTAAAAAATTATTTATTTCTAATAGATCTAGATAATGGCATACATTCTTAGATTTTATTGAATATTAATTTGCTAGTGTTTGTTTGCGTGACGGCTTAATCATATGTGTGCTACTATGCTAATCAGCTAAGGGACCTACGTCGTTAAGTCATAATTGACAGTAATGAGGATTAATGCCTCACAAAAGGGCACTAATATATAGCTGATCGATACGATTTTTATCCTGGGGCCTCATAGTAACGAGGCCATTGCTTAGCCCCTGAATCATGACTGTACGCAGTGTTTGCTAGGGTACGCGGCTCCTTCCACAAATCCCCCCAAACGAAGAAAATGCAATAAATTGTCAAAAATTCATTGCATTTTCCCCCGGCCCCCAACAGGAAAAATTCATCTGTAGGGCCATGCATTATGGTTCAAGGCATGGCCACACAGAGGAATTTTTCCTGTTGGGGGCCGGGGGAAAATGCAATGAATTTTTGACAATTTATTGCATTTTCTTCGTTTTGGGGGATTTGTGGGGGCGGCCGCGTACCCTAGCAAACACTGCGTACATTCATGATTCAGGGGCTAAGCAATGGCCTCGTTACTGTGAGGCCCCAGGATAAAAATCTTGTCGATCAGCTATATTAGTGCCCTTTTGTGAGGCATTAATCCTCATTACTGTCAATTATGATTTAAGGACGTAGGTTCCCTAGCTGATTAGCATAGTAGCACACATATGATTTATCAGTCACGCAAAACAAACACTCGCAAATTAACATTCAATAAAATCTCAGAATATATGCCATTATCTAGATCTATTAGAAATATATATTTTTTTTTTAATCCTTCCCTAAACTGGGGTTAAAATAAATATTCCACCATTATGACCAACAGTGTAGATAGGTAGAGACAAGGGGAGGGAGGGGACACAAGCTTATTCTAGATCCCCTTTAATACTTTTCAATTGCTTTGCTCGCTCACGTTTTGTTCATATATTGAGAATAATGCCCCCTGCATGCCCTGCCTGACAATTACCAACAAGGTTTCCCTTTTTTACCCACACAAATAATGATATAATTGATTACATACAACCGAGTGAGCTCGTCTTCTTCTTCTTATTTTTAGGTTGGTTTAGCGGTTGATGACATCCAAGCTATTCAAGCCAAAGCACACCTTCATCGACTTACAATGCAGGTAAGTTTGCCAAAAGTTAGCCAACAAAACTCAAGATATTCAAACAGAAGTTACAAGTTATGTTAAAAATATAACCATTTGTATAAATTCAATTCAATTCAATTCAATAAAGGGTTTATTCATATGACGTTCTGGCAGCCGAAGCTGAATTGCAGGTCATTTATACAAGGTAAAAAAAACATCATAAAGGGCAAATCTAATACTCTATATATTGACATATTGACATCGAAAATATAATTTCCTCATTTACAGCAAAGTCATGTTCTAACAGTGCTACAAACTTAATAATATTCTTCAGGTAAAGTAATAATATTTTTTTGTTATAAGGTTTTGCTAACATAGACATTAGCTCTTCGTCTTACCCTAAATCCCCAACCGTAAGGATGACAAATGACTTTGGTGCAATTAAATCCTTATTTCAAAGATGAATGATTTCTCTCTCCCCCTTTTACCATTTCAATTATGGACTATATGCTTTGTTTTATAGGTTGATTATGTGATGGAGCTGCAGTGTAAATTTCCGCTGTGGGTATGGAGATCGTCTGTTATTCGTAGGAAGGCATTCGTCGTGAGTAAGACGAGGGTCGGCAAATGGATGCAGCTAATTTCGAGTCTGAGGAAAGAACTGAAGAAAGCGATTAAAATTTGCAATAACAAACAGGTATGTATTGTGATCTCCGTTTCGTTTACTCGTACATGTATCTCCCAAACACTTCTATATTTGTCATATAAAGTAATCTTTTGCCCCGTTCTCGTCTCTGTTGGCACCCCATTTATTCTTCCTTTTTGTAGTTCCTTTTTGTAGTTACGAATCTGTTAATTTAATTACACATCATTCCTAACTACCATTTGAGAGGGCCACAATTGTAGAAGCATTGCTTTTAGTGGACTCTTCTGTTTCCAATATGTATTCCTTAACTGTTGCAAATGATTATACAAATGTTATTGATGTGCAATGTTTTGTTGGCATTGGGGCATTGTCATGTAAAGTACTCGTTGTCCCGCTCTCGTCTCTGTTGGCACCCCCTTCCCCTATCTTCTTCTTTTTCTTCCTTTTTGTAGTTCCTTAGTTCCTGTAGTTACGAGTTTGATTTAATTACTTTATTCTAATTACTCATTATTTCTAACTATCATTTGAGGGGTCCACCATTGTATAATCATTGCCTTCTAGTGAACCCCTCTGTTTTCAACATAAATTCCTTTATTGTTGACAATTATTATAATTGATTTGTAACGTTTTGTTGGAAACAGAAATAAAATTGATTTGAGAAAAAATCCTAAGTAATACGAATACTTAATTTCTTATAACTTTGATTATGTAATCAGCTTGCGGACGAGGATCGGATCAAGGATATTTCCCTGAAGGTAGATGAGGTTATCCATGATATGAGAGAAAGGCATGGCAAACAAGTCCAGGAGTCGGAGAGCGTTCATAACTTGCAGAAGAGTATCCATCATCGAGTGGTTCATCTTGAAGACAGCTTGAAACTCCTGCACAAGAAGATGGATGCCTTACTCGAGAGGAAGGCAGAGCAAAAAGATTAATATTCTTAACTAACGACAAAGCCCCCACCCCTCCCCTCCTTCTTCCTCCTCTCTTTTCTCAAAGTGAGGCGGTCCGTAAAATGAAAGAGACTTAGCAAACGAGTCCAGTTTATGGAGAGTTTTTAGAACTCACGAAAGAACAATTTGGAAGACAGTGTGAACTCCCAGTCAAGAAGATGAATGCCTTTCTAGAGAGGAGGGCAGAGTAAAGAGAGTAAATCTTCGTAACTATGGGATTCCCCCTCCCTATCCCCTCCTCATTCAGTTTTTATACTGTTGTCAAAGCTTTGGAACCAATGACCAAACTCAGGAACGGTATAATTGCGAAATACATTTGTATCTGTAGAATACATAAAGAACTATCATGACACGAATTAAGCCTATCTAGATCGCTAGATAATGTGTGTTGGGGTTGGGGGGGGGGGGAGGGGCTGTAAGAAAAAAAGAAAGAAAGATAATGACATGCTTACAAAGTGATGAAAACTCTATGTTAATGCAATAATAATATAACTCGTACGTACATGTATATCCACCTGTAAAATAAGCTTAAAGACTTTATGTGCATTATCATAGATTAAGATAAATGGTTATTGTATTCGAACATAAAGTATATATTTCTTTAAAAATCTTATATATCACAATAGTTTTTTATGGGTATTGTAGGTAATGTCAAGCTAATTTTGTTCGATACGATACCATCCACATCTATATCTGGTCATTGTATTACGTTAATAAACCAATGCCTAGTTTACATTTGGCCTGCGATTAGTCTACGGAGCGGGAAATTGAACAAACTTGAAGAAAAAAATGATTTGTGTTAGTAAGGAAACATAACTTCTGGAGTGTCAATGTTAAAGCAGTAGGGTACATTAATGCTACTATGGTTTTATTAGCTAACAGTCACGAAATAAAGTTATACATATTGGATTTTAATACCGATATTATAGATTTTGTAGCAGGTCTTAGTTGCAGTGACCCAATAAAGCAATCATACAAAGGTGCAGTGCGATGTAGTGCAGTTTATTCACCAATCGTAAACAAATACTCAAAAACAAATACAAAGAAAGGCAAAGGCAGAAGAATAAAACATAAATAATTACATGTTCAAAATAGTAGTTGCATATATTAATATAATATGAACATAAGTTATATTAGAATAACAAGATATAACACTCATTTATCTTATTGTAATGTAGTGTGGGTAAACACATATCCAACGGAATTGCAACCATTGTATATATTACAGAAAAGAGCTATTCGTATCTGTTTATTTTCTTGGAGACAAGCCCATACTAAAGGATAATTTTTTTAATTTCATGTTCTTACTGTCTTTCAACTCAGATCTTACTACAGCACTGTGTAATATTACTTTTTAAACATAAGCAGAGTATGCTCCAAAAAATCATTATCAGCAATGCTCACTTTGAATGCAGTTGTACATGACCATACTAAATACAAGAAGCAGAGATAAATATCATCTATGGACTGTTAATATATCTTTTAGATATCATGCTACTGTTATCTGGAATAATCTTCTACTAGAAATAAAGTCATTTAACTCAATGAATACCTTTAAAAGAAAACTCAAATCATACTTAATCACAAGTGTTTGAAATTTAAATTGTTGATTTTGCTGCCTTGTATTGTCCTGTGGTGAGTTTGTGCGGTAATATGTATTTTTGAATAGAATATGTCATATATTCGTAATCATTTATACCTTTTAATATAGTACTCTATTATCTTATACATTTTCTATATAATATAGAATGTTCAATGCAACCTTTTTTACCTTTATTAAGTGTGGTCGTCTCGACAAATCCTCATGGTTGTTATGGTCACCAAATTCCAATAATGCTCTATCTTGTGTTGTTATCTGATGTATCGCTTTATTGTTTTATCATTTTACCTTATTTCGTACTCTTGGTGGATTTATACTGTTATGATTGTATTCTGTTCTGTATTGGAATTGAATAAACTGAATTGAATTGAATTGACATTAGGACAATGATTAATAAAGGTGAATTCATTCTGTATAACTTCCACACATCTGCTAGAATAACTGACAAGTTTACAATACTCGATATGCATAAATGATTGCATATTCCATAAAATGCCTCCAACTGTCAGGCCTCATAGGAACACTGTCATTCTCTACATGACCTACAAACAATCCTTATTTGTATCCCTATTCTAACTAAAATTCAAGTTCACTCATTGCCCTCTGGTACTAGAATCTCTTCCTTAAGTTTCGATAGGAAATTAATCTGAATAAAATCCTGGCGATGAGCTGAAGTAATCTCATAATCAAGTTCACTTTTAAATGCTGAAGTATTTCTTGTTACCTAAGCATAATACAAAAGGAAAAAGGAGAAGATTTCCTTTTGCGACAGCTACCCAAATTGAAAAAAATATGGGTACAGCTTACAATGATATATCTAATAATAATATGATATATAAAACAGGGTTTAATAGGGATAGTGTTAGGGTTAGGGTTAGATTTTAGGTAGCTGTTGCAAAAGGAAATCTTTCCGAAAAAAATTACAAGCAAGGTGCATATCTTAAAGACTAATTTCTTGTACTAAAATTTTTTACATTTTACTCAATTAAGTTACAAACATGTTATACATTTATACTACTGTATTGAACATCATAATTCTTTTATCAAACATACAACACTCGGTCTAGAAATATCCAAAATTTATGCAAGCAAAATCTGAAATATCACTATGAATGATTGAGTTTTTTATATCAAAATAAAAATACATGCATACAATCAAAGAGATCGTCTCTTGACAACTGGATCATTCAATAATATAAACAGCTAGCAGTAGAAAATGCTTACCCCAGGTTACACATAGGTTCATTACTATCCTGGCTGTGTATTAAAACTGTTTAGACAACCTCTACAGTGTGTCCCGAAAAAAACTATACACTTTTGAAATGGCTGCCGAATAACAAATATATGATTCTAGGGGAAAAGTTATATATGTATGGAAAGCTCATATACTCAACTTTCATATAACATCAAAAGTTGCGAAAATAATTCATGCTCGGGTGAGCACTGCTCACTTTTGTAAAGGGTATGAAAATTAGGTTGCGCAGGAATTAGCCTTCCAATTTGTGACACTTAATCCTTTGGAGCTTACGGAATTGAGGATGATATGGCCAATTTATGATCAATTGTGATGAGTTTGGGTTTGCTGAGTGAAATGTTTGGTTTATGGGATTAACATTTTATGCATGAGTGAACAGGAATTGCATTTTTTATTGTAGCACTGTAACTTCCCTGTTAGACTCAGTGGTGTGTTCATGGGAGTCAGGATGGGGTGATGGTACATGTTGTAATTTCCATGTTACAAACTGTTATTCTCTTACATCTGTGACTTTGAATAAAAACCTTCACCCCACATTTCAATTATTGTAAGATTAGTTGAACATCTCATTGATTTATTCAATACCCAGGTAGGGATAATGTAAATCGAATATTCAAATACGGTTTGTTGAAAAAAGGAATGTCCAAGATGTCGGCTACTTATTCTTCAGGTAAATGGTAACTGAAATGTGGGGTGAAGGTTTTTATTCAAAGTCACAAATGTAAAAAAATAACAGTTTGTAACATGGAAATTACAACGTGTACCATCACCCCATCCTGACTCTCATGAACACACCACTGAGTCTACCAGGGAAAGTTACAATGCTACAATAGAAAAATGAAATTCCTGTTCCGTGCATAAAAGTTTGGTTTAATAAACCATGGAATTCACTCAGTAAATCATGAATTTATCATATCACCCTCAATGTTGTAAGCTCCAAAGGATTTACCTCTCACACATTGGAAGGCTAATTCCTGCGCAACCTAATTTTCATACCCTTTACAAAAGTGAGCAGTGCTAACCCGAGCATGAATTATTTTCGCAACTTTTGGTGTCATATGAAAGTTGAGTTTATGGGCTTTCCATACATATACAACTTTTTCCACTAGAATCATATATTTGTTATTCGGCAGCCATTTCAAAAGTGTATAGTTTTTTTCGGGACACACTGTATTTAGTCTCAACATTTCAACATGGACTATTCATGTGTGCAATTGCTGCATATTAGCACGTAGTGCAGCGCCAAAGGTCAATACGCTTTAGCAATGACTCTCTATGCTTTGCTGGAGTGCGATCAGCCACTTTGTATTCATTGTGTGCATTTGTGTGCAAGTGCGGCGATGTGTGTATTGTGTGCAATTGCTGCCTCTCAGCAAGTGCATTGACTCTCTATGCTTTGCTGCAGTGCGATCAGCCACTTCGTATTCATTGTGTGCATTTGTGTGCAAGTGCGGCGATGTGTGTATTGTGTGCAATTGCTGCCTCTCAGCAAGTGCATTGACTCTCTATGCTTTGCTGGAGTGCGATCAGCCACTTCGTATTCATTGTATGCATTTGTGTGCAATTGCGGCGATGTGTGTATTGTGTGCAATTGCTACCTCTCAGCAAGTGCATTGACTCTCTATGCTTTGCTGGAGTGCCTCAGGTCAGTGACCAGAAACAGAGTAAACCATCAACACGATGATCAACGAAGCCCAGAACAGACAGCTTGCAGCCAAGTTACCACTTTCAGCCATTAGATAGGATGCCTCAACAGCTGGCAGATACCAGCTGTAATAATCAATAAAATAAAGTATTTCTTTACTGGTGTAAGAGTTAAAATTAAACTCCTTTCATACTTGTATTTGTTTCAATTACTATTTTTTTTTGTCTAGTCTCTTCTCTCTATCTATTTATTTCACATCATTTCCTTATTCAATTACATATTCATTTACTTCAATTACTCAACCCAATGCCTTCCTCCATTCATCTCCTCTACATACCAAGTCTTCCATCTCACCTGGTATGTTCCTTTGTTATCTTCTCATTTTTTACCGGTATTCATGAATCTTGTGTAAATGCATAAGGTATTTCCACTTCTTACTTATCATTGGTTCTCTTCTCCTTACCTTTCGAATATTCAGTCTAACTCTAAATCCTATTTTGCTATTGGTTCATGATGTATTTCATTTGAATATACTTTGCTTAAAAATGTTCAGTATGATGCTGCATATCAGCCGTCAATAGGGACTTTTAGATTTGCGTGGACTGATACGTGTGACGTCCATTCAAGGCAGTGCATTAAAAGGACGTCGATCGTAGCAATCCTCCTCTGTCTTCGTGCAAATCTAAAAGTCCCTAATAAAAGACGGGAGAGGCCTGCATGGACATCATCTGAGGCAGTTGTATTGAATTAGGGCTCTGCTACTTTTATGTTGGGAAATTTAGGAGAGAGGATTGAGTTTGGCAGTGGTTTGTGAATGATAGGTGGTTTTGATATATATTGGTGAGAGGCTATTTGAATTAGTTTACACTGGCTATTCTGACATCAATAATCAGCATGTCATATGGCATATCAATAATTAAATTCAAACTCAATGAATCCGCCAAAATACCTATTCATGACATTTGTACTACAGATGTAGCAACTTACCATTTCTTCACTCTTTATCAATTAATTTGTATCTTATTATAACATCTAGGATAATCAAAAGAAGTCCCCACCTACAGCAATTTGTTTCGATAGTCAATGCACATTCATTTGCCCTCTACGACAATTATACATGCACAACCAGCACTAATTAAATGTAATATAAAACATATTAATTCTTTCATATCTCCGTGGAGTGCTAAAACTCTGGATTCTTCACAAATATCACTAATCAGTATAAAAGTGAGCAGAAATAGGCTTCATAATAATGAAATATCATCATTGAGAACACACATTATCAGTTCAATCCAGTAAGAAAATGTATCGCATGACACATGAATTCTTTTTCACTTGTGCAAGCATACAATACATCATTCATTCATCCAAACTGACTTTAAACATGTAAATAATATATTTATACATCAGGCTACAGTTCTACATACCAGGTAATAAACTACCAAACACCTTAGGATGCCTTCAACTCCTGACACATGCGTTGATGTTGCAGGCCTGACACACTTACAATATTACTATTACACAACACATGTTACGTGTTAAGAATGTACCACACCCTGTACTCGGGCCAAATTAGTGCGCCTATCCAAATGCATTGTCATTCACGTTCAATACAAAAGACATGCATATGATGACCATGTACATATAACAAATGACTTTTTTTTATGAACGAACATCCCATGTGGTCATATCGGTCACTTTTTAAACCCCAACATACCTTTCGTATCAATCTGCCAGACTCCAATATCAGATCGAAAATTCAATCAGTATCAACCGATATGAGTTTCGATGTTCAAAGTCTATGTCGAAAAGTGAACTGAATCGAGACACAATAAATTTCATCGATTGTATCGAAAGCTGTTTTGACCATTTCGGTCATTCTGGATGCTTTGGCCCAAACTGACCATGTGTATGAATTTTAGACCAATTCAGAATGTTTACGCTGCAAAATTTGCTATTAGCTTTAGTTTTTATCAGAATGTATGATGGGGAAGGTTTGAACAGTTCACATGACTTGGTGAAGAATTAATACCCATAGACAGGCGCGCCGGAAGCAGATTGGGATGGGGGGGGGGGGGGGGGGGGGCAAACATTCCAGGGGGCTCACCTTCCAGGGGCAGTGACGTAATGAAAAATAAAGTTCGGAAGGGGTGGGGGTGGGGCAGACGAAAAATCTGCATCACCACCAGTCTTACACGTTACATGCAGGTCCCGCGGAACGTTTTTTAAAGTGGAGTATTATCGATCAGGTAGAGCGTAAATTGGCGAGGGGTCCAGGGCATGAGCCTCGGCAGGGGGTCAAGGGGCTGAGCCCCCGGAAGCTCAGGGGTTTTAGGTATGTAATTACGGTTAGATGAGCATCCAAGGGCCGCCTTAGGGCCCTTGGTGGGGTCCAGGGGACAGAGCCCCCGGAAGCTCAGGGGTTTTAGGTATTTAATTACGGTCAGATGAGCATCCAGGGGCCCGCCTTAGGGCCTTGGT